CGTTTTCAGTGAATTTCTATAGGAATATAAGAGAATAAATCTGAAACGTTCAGTAAATTTTCGGGTCTGTCACCGAAAAAATACGAAAAAGTCACGTAATTTTTCTGGAAGTTGTAAAATCTAACAGAAACTTCAAGACTTATTATGCCTCAGAACATGAAAATTCCTGGATGTTTAAGAATTTTTACGAAAAGTTCCGGAAAAATTACGGAACGTGTTGTTAAAATCTCCCCCTCACGGTGACTCATGGCTAGCCGTGAGGCGTCGGACGGATGAGTAATTTTTACGGAACAGATCGTAGAATTTACGTGACGATTGACACTTTTTATTGAATTTTACTTCGGTCCCAGATTACGTTTCGAAACGTAATTTTTACGTCTTTTTTCTGGTAATTTTTATTGAATATTTCTCTCCGTGTATGTCATTTTCGTTCTAGAAAAACAAATAAAAAATGTATAAATATTATGATGATACAGTCGATTTTCATGAAATAGTGCTCAGCTCTAATTGAATTACTATTCATACATGAGAATGCCATGAAAAACCAAGTGTAAGCTCTCATCATCAATAATCAAGAGAAAATGTTTGAAAATGCTTATTTTTTAGCAATGAGGCGACGAATCAGAGGCATCTTAATGTCTGGCAAGCAATTCTCATTGGATTCCCGAATGGATCTAGTCCAAGTAAGAACAGAACAAAATACAAACAAAGCAAATCAGAAACAAAGATCAGAATTTTGAAGATTTAGTTTTTCAGGGATTTGCGTCATGTGGACGTCACTACACGGAGCCCCCAAAGAATTCAAAGAATTCCCCCCTCATGGAAGATGAAGATGCCAACGGCAAGACCGAATCGACACTCAGCATCGATAAGTCCAGTATTACAATAGACGGTGAGGTTCAAGAGTAATGACCATGTAACTTCAATCTTTCCAGACGCAATTATTTTCTCTACTCCCTAGTTAATTTGCTAAACAATTTCCTTTCGTCTGCGAAGATTGATAGATTAGAAAATTCGCTAGTGAAAGATTTTGTAGCTCTATCAGTAGCTTCAGTGTGAAAAAACCGAGGAAATTGTGAAAAACAAAGAAATTCGAAAAATTCAGGCTCTTACGATAATTCATCATCGAGATCAAGCTCGGAGTACTCAGTTGATGATAGCCCATTAGTCGATAACAGGAGGACTCTGGTGCAAGGAGTGAATGAAACTGTCGGTAATGATGAGTTTAACCTGGATAAGGGATTACCAAGGAGTGAAACGATCGGTGGATTTAGCAATTTAACACCAACAATCATCACGAATCTCTCTCACTCTGATAATGAGATTCGTAAAGTGAATGGAAATGTCTGTGACAAGTGTGGACATATCAAGGAGCAGTAGAAAACCCTCGGAACGAAAACCAAAGCCAAAGACAGAACAAGAAGAAAAATTAGATTTAGAACGAATTAAAATTAAAGAATAAAGATAAGTTGGTGAAGAAAAATGTCTCTTGAAAAATGATGAATTGATTCAACTGTTGTCGGAGGATGAATAAAAAATTCCCTGAATAATTTGAAATTATGTTTTTAATGTTCAGGCAATCAATAAAAAGTACAAATATCCATTATCTGTTTATCATTTTCCATTTTAATTATAAATCATTCAATTTTCCAAATTCCCTCTTTTGTTCAATAGTACCCCTCAGTCGATACTGATGCGAGGAGTGAATAGAACTGTCAGTAATGATAATTTTATTCTGAATAAAGAATGACCAAGGAGTGAAACAATTGCTGAATTTAACAATTTAATACCAACAATTATCAAGAATCTCTTTCACTCTGATAATGAGATTTGTAAAGTTAATGGAAATGTCTGTGAACGAAAACCAAAGCCAAGGCGAAAACCAAAAACGACAGTAAAAGAATAAAAATTTGATTGAGAACGAATTAAAACTAAAGAATAAAGAGAATAAAGAGAATAAAGAGAAAAATGTCTCTTGAAAAATGATGAATTGATTCAACCGTTCTCGGAGGATGAATAAAAATTCCCTGAATAATTTGAAATTATGTTTTTAATGTTCAGGCAATCAATAAAAAGTACAAATGTTCATTATTTGTTTATCATTTTCCATTTTCATTACAAATCATTCAATTTTCCAAATTCGGAACGAAAACCAAAGCCAAAGCGAAAACCAACAACAACAATACAAAAACAAAAATTAGATTTACAACGATTTAAAGCAAAAAAAATAAAGTTGAGTCCGTGAAAAATGATAAATTGATTCAACTGTTGTCGGAGGATGAATAAAACATTCAAAAATAACTTGAAATTATGTCTTTAATGTTCAGGCGATCAATGAAAAGTACAAATATCAGTTTGAGACTTAAACTTTAATGCTATCGATGATATGGCATGATTTCTACAATTCATTTTCCATCTCCATCTCAACTCACTCAATTTTCCTCCCAACTCAGTCGTCCTCTCCTTACCCTAATGATATCTCCAAATGTCTTTCAACAAATCGCGCACTATGAGCACATTTTTACGTACAACTATGATATTTCCTGGTTCCGCGATTACAATATTTTACAGTTCCCCCCATTCGTATGTAACAATCTCATCCCAAATTAACTAATTACCCATTATAAATAATCTTTAACATTCATAACAACGTCATATATCATTCTTCGTTAATTATGAGTTAATATCAATCGTAATTGAACATCAACCTGTGATAATAGTTGATGATGATGAAATTGCTGCTGGAAATTATCATACATTGAGTCGGCGTTCTAAAACTCTCATTTTAGTATCGATGATAACAATTCAAATTTTTACAATTAAAAATTTATTCTCACGAGCATTGTTCGCAATTTTTCTACGCGGCATCTCTAGAGCAAGATGATCGTATAAATCAAGCCGTGCGTGTCGACTTGACTCCCCCCTCCCCAATACATGACTGGAACGAGATATATTTTGAATTACATTTATCCTTTTCCCTGGGGACAACTAGTCCCACAATTTTAAGAACAATTTCCACTCAATTTTTTTTTCATCAATTTACAATCAGTGTTTGGCGAAAATAATATTATTAATATTATTCTCTTCATCACCTTTTCGACCAATAGAATTGCGGTATTCGACGTTCCGTGCACCAATCAGAAGAGAATTATATCGGAAATTAATTCATTCAACTGATAATTTTTCATAATTCCACTGGTAATTTTTCATGTTGATATATATACGAATAATAAAAGATTTTAAGGTCGAGTGAGCCCTCGTGGGAACTGACAGATGGATTTTGTCTCACAGCGCAATTCTCTTGGTCGAAATTCGAATGGAAAAACTCGTGCTCCACACTCGTGATTTTTTTACCTGAAAAACTCGACTCCTTCGTTTGTTTGCAACGAATCCATCGGAAAAAATACCTCATAATTTTGATGCTCTCGGGGTATTACATGCGATTAATAATTTCCCGTCGTTAAGCAGAATAACAAAGAATTGTCAATTGTACCACGATGACACCGAATACCGCAATTCTATTCATCGAAATGGTGACGTGGGAAATGATCCGCCGAATACCCCTCGAGCTTCGAAATTAATCGGAGTATTTCCCTCAAACTTTCCTGCGTCAAGTTTCGCTGGAAAAATTCCTCGCGCAAGCGTTCGGGATTTTTTTAATCTGCGAAACTTGACATATACACTGAAAAAAATTTCAATGGCAATTTTAACAAGAGAATTGTCAAAGAAATTATATTTACAGTAACAATAAACTTTGTCGATTAAACTAGGATTCAGCGTTCGATTTACTATTCAAATAGTGTCATCAACATTAGGGGGCAATTTTCACTTTGATGTAATAATTGAATCTACAATGTTTATTGTTATTCTCTTGTAGTTAAAAGTACCATTGGAATTTCTCTCAGTGTAAATCTTCTTTTCCCTCAGAATCGTAATTTTAGGCCACAGGTTTCCATGGTTTCCATTGTCGAAAAGCTAATTTTTCAATGAAAACAATTGAAATAGAGTTTTTCAAAGGAAAAAGAAATTTTAGTCTGATTATATTCGTTTGTGTGCAATGAATTTTGAAGCTCTTGGGGTATTACCACCGATAATTTCCCATTGGCAATCAAAATAACAAAAAATTGTTGATTATACCACGATGACATCGAATACCGCAATTCTATTTATGTCACTTAGGCGAGCGAAGCGAGTTTAGAATCGCGGTTTTCAGGGCCAATGATATAGAATATTGTATGTCACACGGCGATAAAAGTATTATCCGACGAATGTGACGTTATAATCCTCGCCTTCTACTCGAATTATAATCCCATGAGTGATAATGACATAATATACTATTATCGAAATGGTGATGGGGAAAATAATCCGCCGAATACCCCTTAAGCTTCAAAAAGAATCGGAGTATCTCCCTCAAAGTTCCCTGCATACAAACGAATGCGTCAAGGTTCGCAGGAAAAATCCCTCGCGCAAACACTAGAAAATTTTTTAATCTGCGAAACTTGACATATTCGTTGGTATTGGGGAATTATAAAAGAACATTTGGAGTAAATTTCCCCGGATCGATGCGCAGAGTAATATTATCCGGCTACTGCAACAACGACACTCATCGCTTTTTACAAAATAATCACAGCATAAACGGTGGAGGGGGAGATGTGCTGCGTCCAACGTCTCGACACTCAATGTGGGTGCAACATAGATCATATAATGATATACATTGAGAGATTCAAAGGTAAAAAACATGTCATTGGTTTACATAATGCGGAATTCATAATTGTCTCGCTTTCACATAATCGTCAATCAATCTCATTAATATATAGATGTATTAAATATGTATAATGTTTAATATAAAAAGCGCTCTTGCTCGGCTGCCAACACCCAAGGAGATGTCTCACGACAATAGAATTTTTTTTTCAGTTTTCTTTCTGTACCTCACATGGCACGTGGAATTCGACTGCGAGGCCAGGTGACCAACGAAATGAAAAAATCACAATGGTCATGTTTTTTTTCAAAACTACCGGTGGAAAGTTGAAAAAAATACTGGACACTTTGAATGGATAAAATATTTCCACGCGAATACAATTGTTGAGACTAAGGCACTTACGTCACGCGTGGTGTTTCCAGATATCTAGTATTTGAATCCTCTGATGGCATTACACACTCTAAAACTTTGTACAATTGTGTTCATTATTGCCTCAATTTAAAAATCAACGGGGTACCCAGGCGAAACTTGAAAGTCTTCGGTTGAAGAAAATGGACATCAAGCGACTCTTGGTAAATTATGGAATACATAAAATTTACAATCAGTGTAAAAATCATTTGTTCGGAATCGTAACCAATCTATTCATATTCAGCGTTTTACCACAAATCAATTTCATGCGTAAAAAATTAGTTTTCTGAAATGTTAAACAATTTCAATTATTTGTTTGCAGATAACGAATGTTTAAAAAAATGATAATTCTGTGCAAAATGTAATTTGACTGATGCTGAATAGTCATGATCTTTTTTCAAATTTTTCTCACCCAATTTGATTGACAAATTTGATGATTGAAAATGGGGAAATTGATATCGTTAAACATTTTTTTTCAGTCATCGTCGATAACTGACATCCGGACATGGTCTAAAAATACAAAAAATATTCGGACTCATGAGCCCAAAATTAGTTATTCTCACAACGCAACGCTTCCAAAAATTCGCAATCAAAAACACGACAAACGACGTTTTCCCTTAACATAGCGGGCAAAATGGGTTGGGTCAACAAATTTTCTCACTTGTTTAGGTACCCCATGACATATCAAGAGTCGTTCGATGGTTATTTTCACCAACCGAAGACTTTCAAGTTTCAGCTTGGTCCCCCTTTGAACGAAATATTTGTAACCGAAATAGCGAAAGTGAAAAGGAATGTTGATTTATAAAAAAAAACACATGAAAGAACAATGGAAAATTGGCAAATGGCCTCACAGACGCGCGTGCGAAAATGAACAAATGACGCGACATGAGCCGCATGGCTTGCCAAAAGAACCTCGGCGGGTCTGTTATTTTCCCGGGGTGCACGAAGTTTGTTTGGCAAAAGGCTCTTTACAAAAAAAGCCTTTCTGTGAGGATATGCGCGTTCAACTCGAGCCCTCCAACATCGTCAAGTTGAATCCTTCGTTATTTCACCATTCGTATCTTCAATAGTTGAGTCATTGGAGGTCACGAGGTGAAGGCCCACAGTGCATTCTCTTCGTTTTTTTTCTTAAATTATGTTTCATCAGGGTGGAAGGTGGGTTTTTCAGCTACTCGTTCTGAATATACACGAGCTCATCAGAATTGAATGGACTTACCACTCAAAACCAATCAGAAAATTCTAGAATAATTTTTTTGAAACTTATTTTCGTTATTTTCTCTTCATTTTCGAGCACAAAAAGTTCTTCTGAAATTGTTAAAATTAAATTGAGAAAAAAAAACAATAAAACTACATTTATTTCATTTGTTATTAAAATATAAAAAAACGATTACTCGCTGATATAAATGGATATTACGTCACTTCAACTTGAATTCAAAGATAAAATATTCGTTATTATACAAAAAAAAAAATGTTGTCACGTGAATTTAGAACGAGCAGCCTAAGATTGGAAGAATCATAAACCGAAATAAAACCAATAATAAAAAATAAAGTATCATGCATCCGTGCAGTGCCGGTGCTGTGAGACCTGAACTCAGAACAATTCCATTAATCTCCGAATTCATTAACTCCTGATTAACTTCACTATCAGGAAGCAGCAACAACTCGTATACGTTCGAAATTCAGCCTCATTGGGTGTATAATAGAACATGCAAATTCCATAGAAGAGTTAAGGTAAAATGAGCAGTTTTTCATCCTCGATAGCTTGAAATCGCTGCAGAGAAATTCAATTTTTTTTCCATTTTTGTTCAATTTTTTAAACTTCAAAATAAGGCTGAATTCATCCAAATGGCACCATTTGGTTAAGAATATTGATGAATCATAGAACTCATTTTACCTCGCCTCCCCCAAGTCGAAAGAATCGTCCAGCGATTGAAACGAAATAACAAATGATATGTCGAAAGAACTTTAACACCTAAATCGATAAGCATGGACTAGAACATAAGCGTGAATGAGCGATAGAGGTAATGAATTCAAAATAACATAAATAGGAATCAATAACAAGTACCAACAGAGACAATAACATTTAAAACGAGAGAGTTTGGGGTGCAGCGGACACCGACCCTTCCCATTCATCGATTGAGCTAGACTTCAGGCTCATTAAAGAGGAAAAACATCATTTTCATTGACAGGAAAGTCATTAACACGAGAAAAAAATCGAGAGTCCATTCCGCCCCGTCCTCTCCCAACCAAAAATATCAGAATATATCCCTCGGATATTGAAACACCTTCATTCATAACTTTCTACCTAATGAATTGTCTATCTACTCATCAGAATGTAGAGAATATTCAACTAGAATCATCGCACTGAATATTAAAAATCGTCTAAAATTTGTTTCATAGAAACTAAATAATCATTTCAACGTTAGAGGATAAATCAGCTAATTCGAAGGACACGAGCTTCCAGTTGACTATTCTCAGATAAATAAAAACGAATTGGTGGGCATGCCGCTAAAACACGCCGTGATTGATGCCCCCTAAAACATCTAATTAACATTGAATAGTTCCCCATTGAGGGGGAATTACAGTACTCAATGGACACACTGGAAAATATCAAGGATTGGGAGTTAAACAGGTGGATGATCTAACATCACGAGACAGCCAGTGGATTCTAACTACAACTCTTGTGTCTTTCATCGCTATCGCGGATTAATAAATTCAATTTAATTTTCTTAATTATCGGTAATTATTAGTGAACGATGCTGGTTGGTAACCCGGAATGCGCGGCTCAGTGCCACATACATAAGTAATTATTGTTCTTTCAATTATTTGAATGTTAAAGGTAAAAAAATTACTTCTTTCGGGCCTCGTATGCCTCTGATCTCATCAAGATAATTGAAAAAGCGATCAATGATGAGGAATTAATCTCTTAGAGTTGGTCACAATCGTCACTTTTAGATGAAATAATTTTTAGTATTTTTTTCTCAAACTGGAGAAAAATTTGGAGAAAAGTTGGAGAAAAATTACCGAGCAAGTCAGGTAATCGTGGAGCGGAATTCATTTCTACAGTGATAGAAAGAATTTGTTGTTTTTAAATGATGAATTTGATTGAGGGTTGGGGTCGATTCGGCCTCGACAAAATTATTCTTTTATTGATAATTCTTGAATTATATTTCGAGAGGATTAAAATTAAAATTAACAAAACATTAAGAGTTAACAAATGAACATTTGGGAAGCCGTGTTTGACTGGACTTTCATCTTTCCATTGGAGCATTCATTAACCATTGCAAAATATTTATTTAATCAGATTCAACTCTAGTGGTTATTAATAATTAATGAACCTCGTTGACAATAAATGCGAGAGAAAAGTAAATTTTTTTCTGCTAACTTGAGAAAATTTACTAAACGTGAGGGTAATTTGTACTGAAGCGGTAAAATGTACCATTCATCCTGTCAAAAACCATCGCATGAATATGAATGATTCCTCAATATTGCGTAATCAGTCACATACGTGGAGGAATTTTTCTGACGGAGAATTACATTTTTCACTGTTAGAAAATTACTTTTGAAATTTGAAGTGAAAAAGCTTGAAATTTTTAACAATGACAAAGTTACTTGAAATTCCTGCATATTTCTTCATTGATGAATCAGTGAATTTCTTTAATATTCAAGTAATTTTAGATTTCCAGGTCCATACGGCACTGAAAAATGTCGAAAATTGGGAAAATTCAGGCAGCAACTTTTCTGAATTCTCAATATATTTACAATTGAATCACATCTAATGTTTAATTTTCGCAATGAGTTTGAAAATTCAAGCTTTTATTGAAATATCAATGATCACTTAACGCGAAAAAGTCAATTCTCTTCAATTTTTAAAATGAATGAGAAATTTTATGAACATTTTCATTTGAAATTAAATTCAAACTTACGATATTGAGAATTCAGATGACGCTGTGGCTGAAATTTCAATAAATTTCTAACAGAGTACGGTAAAATTTCACTTTCGTCCATTCCCCGTCCACGTCCTTCACATCGAAGCCAGAAGAAAATCCCCTACCGTTTGGGAAATTTTACTGAACAGGGAACAGTAATTTTTGCATCCATAGATGTTTTTTTACCGAATAGTAATATATCCCCTACAAAAGGTATTTTTTGCTAAACCACAATTTCGCTCCACGATTACCTTTCACATAGTAATCTTTGCCACAATTTTCCAGTACTTTTTATTCAACTTCTCTCTCCGTTTAGGTTTTCGAATTCTGAGGTTTTTGAGAATCGAAGGAATGATGCGACTGTTTTTGCTACGAGTTGTGACCAACATCGAGGCCTCCTACAATCTATCGGGATCTCTACGGGAAAATAAAAATGTACAAACGATCAAGTGTGGTTGACAAACGGTGATAATCACAGTGACCTACTAAGCAAGCCTGGACTCGTCAGGATTGAATTGATAATGAGGAGTGTTGATAGGATTAATAGAAGTGTGGTATTGGAACACGTGGATGGGGAAACCCGATTGCACATATCTTCCTCACAGAAGCACATGTGACCAGTGCCGGTACTTTCCATCATGCACACGTGATCCACCATAAATAAGTTTATTTGCAGTTGGGATGTGCACGTTCTTCGGACGCTCTCGTAAGCTAGAAAATGGTAATTTATTTTTTTATTGCATTGTTGGAAATAGCGCTGTCCCAAAAATACACGCACGAAAAAATTTAATACAAAAACCTATCGAATTCGTTAGAAAATTCTATTGAATTTCTATTAAACTTTCTATTAGTTTTTGGCTGATTCTATTGACATGTTCAACAGAGAAAAAATTCAATAGAAAAAGTTAACAGAATTCGATTTTTCTATATAACTTATTCTTTTCGTATATTTTCTATAGAATTTGCTCGACTCAAATTCTCTGTTTTTTCATTCTGTTTTTCTTTTTTTCTCATCAAGAAAATCAAACGAAAAAACTTAGAAAATTTTAGCCGAGAAAATTCTATAGACAATATCTCAATAGAATAAGATATATAGAAAAATTGAATTCTATTGACTTTTTCTACTGAATATTTTCTATTAAACATTTCAATAGAATCGGCCATAAACTAATAGAACAATTCAATAGAAATTCAATAGAATTTTATAACGAATTCGATAGGTCTTTCTATTACATTTTTTCGTCCGTGTAAACAAAAGGGGTTTCCCTTCGCTTTTCGTCGGGAAAAGTGAAGGGCCAAAAATTAAACTCACGTGATCTCTGATTCCTGACCATTTTGACACAGCACCCATTGCAGGTCATCAGAGGGGGTTGATCCCTGGGTAATGCCGTGTAATTGAAGGGATCTTTACACCTCAGATCAGTCCATGAGTCGCACTCGTAGCAGTAGACAGATCTCGCTGTGGTCCAAATTCAAGAGAACTCATCAATGAATCCAACTCAATTTGACGCACACGGAGAAAAATGTACAATGAAAATTATCCCGGAGATGGGTGAAAATTACCGACCAAAATGAAATCGAGATGTAAGAGAATTCCTCCGCATATTTGAATTTTCAGTGAAAAAATTCGTATTCAGTGTCAAATTATACCGAATTTTCAATGAATTGAAACTATAAAAAAATATTCACCAGAATTTTACTCATTAATTGTTCTATTTCACAGTTCTCATTAATTTTTCCATGAAAATGTGAATTTTCAATTACAAAATTCTTTGAAATTTCAGTGGAGCTAAAATATGATAAAAATTTCCAAAAGTGCAGCAGTAGAGTTGTTATTACCCTTTTTAAGTAATATATTTGTTTTCCGGTAGACTCGATGTTCAATAGAGCTGTTATTGTACCTAAATTATTTATTCGATTCAATAAAAAATTATCACCTGTTGATAAATTCGTTCTCTTTACGTCTAAACAATGCTTTCACTTCTCACTAATAATGTCTTTATTTGGATCAAGGAATTCCTTTAGATTTAACAAATTATACAATTACACAGTTGATGTGAATGAAAACGCAAATAAATAAGAGTTTAAATGTAAATAAAAGCTTCACTACAAGCTGTTTAACAAATAAAGTTTAGTCAATTCAAAGGAGCCATTTCTCTGACTGAATTTTTATCCTACACTCTCTACTTTCCCCCATCTGAAAAACTGTAGGGTAGATCTTGGAACATTTTTCTCTCCGTGCATCGTCAATCTAACTACATCCAAAACAACGAGAACGTAATTAAGAATAGATTCTCACGGAATTAAACTCGTAACACAGATATTCATCAGTAATAACTCACTTTGACATTCGGCATGACAGACGTTGGCAACCGCTAGTAAAATTGCCACTGAAAGAAAATGTGATTTTCGCTTCAGATGAGTTCAGTCAATGATTTTACATCATTATGCACTGTCAATTGGAACAGATACTCATGAACTTTTTATCTACTTTCTAGATTTCTAATTCAACTACAGAAGTTTGCAGGATGGTATGATTTTATTTCTTTACAAAACGAATGTCATCATTTTTATTTCTCTAACGACTCACCATTCGGTGGGAACACGCCCCCTTGAGAGCTCGCCCTTTTCTCGAAATTATTATTAACAGGTGCAAACAATATTTTTCTACCCACTACGTTCTTCCATTGACGAATATAAAATTCTAAATATTTTTTCAGTAACTACGATTTTTTACGTTTTTCGAATGCGGCAGTCATTCAAGTTGAATAATAAGCTCTTGTGTCATGAACGAAACAAAAATTCCCAGTGGAGAATAAATATTTTTGATCAGGAATATCATACGAACGATTCAATAGAGTTTGCTGGGAGACGTATGGAGGAATTCAATAGTGAATTCCCACGCAGCCGCTAAGGAATCTATTGGTGGTTTCATTATTCTTTTGTCGATTTAACAATAGAAATTTCTTGTCAGACATTTTTCATTTTCGACAAGAAATTATTGCCTCTATTTTTCTCCGCCTCTCATGAAAATAAACAATTTCTGCTTTCCTTCAAAGTTCTATCGAATTCAATTGATAATGGTATTTGTTTTTTGCGCCAAATTCTAGTGAAAATTACGCTTTTTTGCCAGTGTTTTGCAAGAGAAAAAGATGACAAACGGTCAACGGATGCTGATTCTTACATTTAATTTATTTCGATGGGATTTTTTCTATAATAATTTTAGGTATAAATTTTCTCAGGCGTCTTACTTGGATTTTGTAATGAGAAAAAGAGAGAAGAAAATGCAACGTAGAAGAACTTGGAGAATTTACGCCCACTAATTTCTCTCTGATTTCATTCATTTCTATAGAGAAAATAGTCTCTTGAAATTTTGTCTATAGAAATAAGTGGGTGTAAAGACAGGTAATGATAAATGAATAAATGGATAAATGAATAAATAAATAAATAAATAAATAAATGGATAAATGAAAATTTCATGAGAATAATTGACGGAGAAGAATCAAAATCGATTAATTTTTCACTCAATTATCTATCAAAAAACCGCAAAATAAATTCAAATAATCCAGTTTTCGTGATTTCAGTTTTTCAGGGGAAGAGATAGATACCTGTACCGCCCAGCAGGTGACACCGCTCATCCAATTATCTCCACAACCACAAACATTTTTCACAATTTTTTTTCAATATTGAGAATCTAGTGTCAGAAAGTATTTACCACAAAAACTTTGACACTTTTGACAATTTTAAGTTGAAAAAATCATCCGTCGACTTTTTTATGTCCTTGCAATGTAAAATTCTGCGACCAATATGTAAGATTTTTTGCTATGGAGAGAGATTTCATGTTTTCTGAGCAAAAGTTCGATATTATTTATTAAATCCAGTTATTTTCTACCGAAGAATTTTTCTGTGGCAATTACTGAAAGCAAGTCAACTATACACAGTGTTGACACCGGCAGTGGTAATACCAATCACTCGGCATCCGTCTCAGCTTTCCGACAATTTTGTGAATTCTAAGAGTAATTAAACATTTATAATTGGAGAAAATTAAGAAGAATAGTAGAACAAGATTTGAGAATAGTCTGGTCTTTCAGAGTTACAGTTTTGGATGCGAAAAACATAATTATTTCTTAGTTGAGCGGTCCATGCTGTGCCTACTCTACCCCGAGTGCATCAAAATTATCGGGTATTCCTCAATAACTTCGTTGTAAACAAACGAGAGTGTCAAGTTTCGCAGGTTGATAAATTAAATTTTTCAGTAAAACCAGACACGATCGTTAATTCACAGGAAAGGTTAAGGGAAGCAATATCCGATCGAAAACTCCTTCCAGCATATCACGTGACGCTAAATACTGCATTCTGATGGGCCGCGATCGGTTCTCGGCAAATAATCTATACAAATCGGCACAAAAAGTCGATTTTTCAAAAGAATTTTAATAGAATTCTAATCCTTTTTAAAGATTGAAAAGATTTATGAAATTTTCATTTCATATGAAGCGAAAAAAATTGAACTGCTCGGGATTTGACGCGGGAAGTTGCAGTCGTTCGTCCTCTCGTTTCCTTAAATTGAGTTCTCTCGTTCGTCATCTCGTTTCCTTAGATTGATAAAACCTAATTTGAATAGAAACCTAATAGAATTCTCTTAGAATTGCCAAAGGAATCGAAGAGAATTCTTTAGAGAAAGCGAAAGCGAAGAATTTCATTCTTATAATTAATTTTCCCATACGTAGAACTTTATTATTCCACAGAAAAATTTCCGAGTCACCGATTTTTTCTTCTTGAATCCACAATATTGATTCTTAGATCAATAATATTTCCTTCTCAATTCGAGAATTTTTTTCCCGTTCAATACATCCTTTAAAAACCTCCTTATTCCCGTACTATCACCAATTATCATCACAACAAAATAATGATTATTCAAAAATCAAACGTAATAAATCACAAACGACAGGAACTCACCTGTTATCATGTAGTCCGCTCCCATGATGGACTCCTCTACGGGTTGTCATCAAATGAATTAATCCGAGCGCTCACGCCTTCATTTTAACATGACCATTAGTCACTCGTTAGTTGATCTGCACTCCGTGTCACGTGGACTCGACCAGTTTCGAAATTCGATCGTCTCGATAAACCCTGCAACATTTTCGTCGTATCGAACCGCTTGAATACGTCATTGCATGACCCCGGAAAATAATATCACAAGGAAATAAGAGACAGATAACCCCCGAGGTATTAATTCACTGCCAGAACCCAAGTGGTATGTTCGAACACTTGTAGTTTTTCCCCAGGCTTCCGATTATCGGTGTCAATTAAACAGCGATTAGGTGCTTAACATTGTTACTATTGCTTCTAGATTGATTTATATTCCAAAATATGAATTAAATAATAATTCTTCAAAATAATAATTTGCTTATTCTTCATTTAATTTTAAATAAGTTGTATTAAATAAGACGAACGAACAAAGTAAAATACAAATTATTCTTTCCAGAGATTCACTCGATGGGAAATTTCCCTTGAAACTCATTATTATTATTATTATTATTATTATTATTATTATTATTATTTCAAATGGAATTATTTAAATGGAATTAAAAAATGTTTTGTGACGAAAAAATATTTTTTTAATTCTCTTTCTCTTGCATATGGAAACGGAAATGGCCTGCGTTCACTGTCACGTGGACTCGACCAAAGGAAAATGGGATCACCTCCACAAATTCTAAATCATTTCCTTCGCATTGAACCCCTCGAACTAATCGCGGCATGATCCCGAAAAATAACATCACGAAGAAATAAAAGAGAAACCCCCGAGGTATTAATTCACTGTCAGAACCCAAGTGTTATGTCCGAACACATGTACTTTCCCCCCAACTCTCAGACGTGGGCGTCTATTAGACAGCGATTCGGTGCTCAACATTTTTACTATTTCTCCGGGATCGATGTCTTAATACAAACGAAATAAAACCAAGAGTAATTAAAAATTATTATTGAACAGAACTTGAAAAAAAAGCACTACTAAACTTATTTCTGTTCATAGATTAAACTGATGGAAAAATTCACTGAAATTTCAAGGAAAATCCCTTGAAATATTCAGCAATAATTAATTAATTCAATTTACATGAGGTTGTACTATGTTTTGTCACAAAAAATTCAATTTTTTTTCTTTTGTACCAAAAGTTTTAACGTAACAAAAAAAACTTCACGGCATATGATAAATTGAATAATAACCTATAAATGAATAATAACAATATGGTACCCGGAGAATCAACGACATAAATTCGATAAGACAATCGTTCTAATTACGAATACAAAAAAATTAATAACTTTAGAAATCTAAGATACACTTCAAAATAGTATTTAAACGTTTTGTGAAGATAAATTGTCTTCCCAACTTGACTCAATGCTGATCCACTCATTTCATCATTGCAAACTAAAAATGAAACAGAATGAATAGAGCAATGGAAATCGCTAGCGCTCCCCGTCACGTGGACTCGGCCCGAGGAAAATTGGATCGTCTCGAGTCCTACCCGACTTCCGTCATAATAAAGCACTCGAGCACATCGTCGCATGATCCCAGAAAATAACATCACAGGGAAAACAAAAAGGACAAAACTCCGAGGCATTAAATCCCCGTCAGAACCCAAGTATTGTTCCCAAGCACTGCTGTCCCCAGCCCCCAGCCTTCTAGAAGCTATTTCCCTGAACTAGGTCGATGGTATAACGCCACTCACAGTTGTCAACGGGGCTTTTCAATGTAATGGATCATTCAGATGCCGGCATAATAGTTCTAATAAAGCCCACAGAAGTGTTTAGCACGATGACATAAACGACTAAAATTAGGAGAATGCTCGCAAATAGCCGCAATTCAATCGATCACTTCTAATAATTTTCCCACATTGTTAAAAATTTTTGTATGAATTCTCCGTGTCAAATTACGGAAATTCTTATTGTGTTCAAGCTTCACTGAAATTTCAGGAAATTTTGTCATTAAAAAATCAAATATTCCATTGATTTTCTGTTCAAATGATTTCGAAATCAATAAAATAGTCGATTTTTCAGTTCAATTATTCTAGGAAAATTCAGAAAAATCAGGAAAATTCAGGGAAAAATTGAAAATTCACAGCATTTTGTTCCTAAATATTCATGTCCCACTAAAAACTCATGAATTTCCGTGAATTCTACTTAAAACTTGAAATTTCATAGCCATTTTTTTCCTAAATTCGATTCAGTGTCACTCTCATGAGACTTACTACAACATCTTCCATGAAATGTCAAAAAATTTCTAACAGTGCAATACAATAACAAAAATACAACAATAAAGGCATTGCAAATGTCGTGAACAAAGCAATTGCATCTAAAAATCACGAATCGGAGAAATACGGCGTCAAGATCACCTGACCTACCCCAAGCTGCTTCCCCACCGCATTTGTCTGGCTTGGCCATTGCGAAACACTTTGAATTACCTTATTCCAACCAGATTACAACCGTCCGCATCCGTGGGAATAGCCGTCTCTCACTAGACTGCATAGAACACACCAGACTGATCACACGCTGCAGCAATTACCAGCGATAGCACATGTCCAAGGTCTTCCGGATTTTATTAAAATCCTCCCATCGGTGCGGACAGTCACGCCGACATGCTTCGACATGTCGCACACGTTGTCACGTACCTCTCCCTCATGTTTACTATGTTCTATTGTCTAGTTACGATTGAAGCCCTCAAGGTATTCAAATCCGTGGAGTCACTTGACACCTCTGGAATAATTCGATTAGAAAGGGATGATCATTTTTCGTAAAAAAAACATCTTCATGACCGTTTTTTCGACAATAATGAGTGTTTCATATTTTGAGCGCAATCGCGAGAAGGGAAGATTGAAAATGAAAATATTCTATCAATTCTTGAATTTTTTAAAAATCAACAACGAAAAATCAACTCGTGTGAATATCATCGATCCGTCACTCTGTGGTTCTGCATTGCTGATAAATTAATGGACTTTGAATAATTAATCTGGGTCAAGATGTAGTGGAAAACGTGAACTTTGGTTTTTAGCATCGAGACCGAGGGAATGGAATTAATAAATAATATGCGGAGGAAAATGGAAGGAAAATTATGCCAACGGGAGAGGTAATTCGTAAGCAGAGGTACAAGAGTGCCGGAGGAATGAAACATCAAATGTCAATCGATGTTCATTTGAATTCACGGGTTTAAACGTTTTTTTATTTAATGATTTCCGTATTTTCTTGGCTTTTGGCACCCACGTTAGACAATGAACGACAGCCGGCCGAGACTCAAGTTCACTCACTGCACTGTCTATGCGGATAAGTATGGTTCAACTCATGTGAACAGTTGCTACTGTGATCGTAGGCACCACGCGATTGCGCGCCGAGCAAATTTGGGATTTTGCGTTTGGCGAGTACCACCTGAGCAACCACTTGGCGGGATCAATAATGTTTCGCTGCATGCGGCGGTGGCGGGGGAGTCTTGCGCAGGCGTTGCTCCAACTGCCAGGGGGCTTTGGGCTCCGCAGGCGGGATGAGGGGGATTTCGTGTGGGTGAAGATGGGGGAGATGTCATTGCACCGGGGGGGGGAGATTAAACGAGTGGGGGGCAGGTGGGATGGGACAGTTATTTTGGGGACGATCGAGTCGGGGGAGCCCTTCGATAGGGCTATTTTTGTGTGGCGAGGGGGAATGCTGATGCTATCTATGAAAGTTTTGGGGCGACGCCGGGGCAGGACGGGGTCTGCTGGGCAGCGGGACGGGGAGGTGACTTTGTCAACGTGGTAATTGATTTTCGAGGGGATCGATGATAATCGGTCGATTAACGGGACAATTTTGGAATTATCCAGGGGGGTTTTTGAGGGGGGGTGTCGTCAATAATAAAAGGTGGATGGAGATTCATGTGTTAAGCCAAATGTAAGTTTGCTTGCTCCTCCTTCCCTCGGATGAAATAAATATTATTTTACTATATCAAATGTATTATTTTATTTCTACCAAATATGGAACATATATGCCAAGTGTAAGTTTATTTGTTTGTTTTTTTTCGCGCCAATTTCTATTGAAAATTATTCAACTTTGCTGTCGTTTGCTGTTGTTAATGTTTAATACGAAAAATTTATACATCTTGATTTTGCCATATAAGTTATTTTTGGCGGATTTTTTTCATAGAAATTTCTGAACGTAAATTTGTAAAGTCTTTTCTTTCTTTAAATTTACGGAGCCCTTCGATAGCCCTATTTTTGGGCGGAGAGGGGGAATGCTGAATGATGGTATCTTTTTGGGGAGGCGCCGGGGCAGGACGGGGAGTTGACTTTGTCAACGTGGTAATTGATTTTCGAGGGGATTGATGATAATCGGTCGATTAACGGGACAATTTTGGAATTATCCAGGGGGGTTTTTGAGGGGGGGTGTCGTCAATAATAAAAGGTAGATGGAGATTCATGTGTTAAGCCAAATGTAAGTTTGTTTGCCCCTCCCTCCCTCGGATGAAATAAATATTATTTTACTATATCAAATGTATTATTTTATTTCTACCAAATATGGAACATATATGCCAAGTGTAAGTTTATTTGTTTGTTTTTTTTCGCGCCAATTTCTATTGAAAATTATTCAACTTTGCTGTCGTTTGCTGTTGTTAATGTTTAATACGAAAAATGTATACATCTTGATTTTGCCATATAAGTTATTTTTGGCGGATTTTTTTCATAGAAATTTCTGAACGTAAATTTATAAAGTCTTTTCTTTCTTTAAATTTACGGAGCCCTTCGATAGCCCTATTTTTGGGCGGAGAGGGGGAATGCTGAATGATGGTATCTTTTTGGGGAGGCGCCGGGGCAGGACGGGGAGTTGACTTTGTCAACGTGGTAATTGATTTTCGAGGGGATCGATGATAATCGGTCGATTAACGGGACAATTTTGGAATTATCCAGGGGGGTTTTTGAGGGGGGGTGTCGTCAATAATAAAAGGTAGATGGAGATTCATGTGTTAAGCCAAATGTAAGTTTGTTTGCCCCTCCCTCCCTCGGATGAAATAAATATTATTTTACTATATCAAATGTATTATTTTATTTCTACCAAATATGGAACATATATGCCAAGTGTAAGTTTATTTGTTTGTTTTTTTTCGCGCCAATTTCTATTGAAAATTATTCAACTTTGCTGTCGTTTGCTGTTGTTAATGTTTAATACGAAAAATGTATACATCTTGATTTTGCCATATAAGTTATTTTTGGCGGATTTTTTTCATAGAAATTTCTGAACGTAAATTTATAAAGTCTTTTCTTTCTTTAAATTTACGGAGCCCTTCGATAGCCCTATTTTTGGGCGGAGAGGGGGAATGCTGAATGATGGTATCTTTTTGGGGAGGCGCCGGGGCAGGACGGGGAGTTGACTTTGTCAACGTGGTAATTGATTTTCGAGGGGATCGATGATAATCGGTCGATTAACGGGACAATTTTGGAATTATCCAGGGGGGTTTTTGAGGGGGGGTGTCGTCAATAATAAAAGGTAGATGGAGATTCATGTGTTAAGCCAAATGTAAGTTTGTTTGCCCCTCCCTCCCTCGGATGAAATAAATATTATTTTACTATATCAAATGTATTATTTTATTTCTACCAAATATGGAACATATATGCCAAGTGTAAGTTTATTTGTTTGTTTTTTTTCGCGCCAATTTCTATTGAAAATTATTCAACTTTGCTGTCGTTTGCTGTTGTTAATGTTTAATACGAAAAATTTATACATCTTGATTTTGCCATATAAGTTATTTTTGGCGGATTTTTTTCATAGAAATTTCTGAACGTAAATTTGTAAAGTCTTTTCTTTCTTTAAATTTACGGAGCCCTTCGATAGCCCTATTTTTGGGCGGAGAGGGGGAATGCTGAATGATGGTATCTTTTTGGGGAGGCGCCGGGGCAGGACGGGGAGTTGACTTTGTCAACGTGGTAATTGATTTTCGAGGGGATCGATGATAATCGGTCGATTAACGGGACAATTTTGGAATTATCCAGGGGGGTTTTTGAGGGGGGGTGTCGTCAATAATAAAAGGTGGATGGAGATTCATGTGTTAAGCCAAATGTAAGTTTGTTTACCCCTCTCTCCCACGGATGAAATAAATATTATTTTACTATATCAAATGTATTATTTTATTTCTACCAAATATGGAACATATATGCCAAGTGTAAGTTTATTTGTTTGTTTTTTTTCGCGCCAATTTCTATTGAAAATTATTCAACTTTGCTGTCGTTTGCTGTTGTTAATGTTTAATACGAAAAATTTATACATCTTGATTTTGCCATGTAAGTTATTTTTGGTATCTTTTTGGGGAGGCGCCGGGGCAGGACGGGGAGTTGACTTTGTCAACGTCGTAATTGATTTTCGAGGGGATCGATGATAATCGGCCGATAAACGGGACAATTTTGGAATTATTCAGGGGTTTTTTTTTGGGGGGGGGGGGGGGGTTGTGATCCCCTCCCTCCACCGGATGAAATGAATATTATTTTACTTTATCAAATATATTATTTTATTTATATCAAATATGGAAAATATATCCCAAATGTAGGTTTGTTTGGTTGTTTTTTCTCGCGCCAATTGCTATTGAAAATTATTCAACTTTGCCGTTGATTTTTCAATTAATATTTGATGCGAAAAATTTATAGATCTTGATGTTATAGAATTGATCCCACTATTGTTTTCGATCAATTCACGACTAAAACAATCACTTCTAAATTGATAAGTGGAACAATCACGATAGCTTGAAACAACTCCATTAATCGTTATTAACAACCTGTCGCGTGCCGAATGTGATTTAATGAGTGTGATAATTCCGAAGCGATTGGCCGTAGGATAACTAAATTCGGCTGATAAACACATCACGAAAAAATGATTTTATAACTTAGAACGAAACGGTTGTACCATTTTCGAAGGTATAAAGCGGTTCTTCCGAGTGATTGCAGGAGCTCACTCGGCGAAATCGCCTGGCAAAACAGCGGATATTCCTAGATTTTGATAATAAAAGAAAATACCGTGAACTATGACGCCAATGGGGTGCATACCGCACCGAGAGAAATGTTCAGCAAAGATTACGGAACTCATAATTCGCTCACCGATTACGGAATCGACTCAGAAAATTTAAGTGACGGTATTGTTTCACTTAAATTTTCAATTTTCACTTTCAATTTTTCACAGGAGATTCAAGTAAAAATTACGAAACGCTCTAGAAAAATTCCTTGACAGTTCCGTAAATTTCCTGCAAGCACATTGCACTCCAGAATTACGGAAAAGATACGTAATTTTTAGTGAATATTTCTCCCCGTGCAATCCTCCTGAAGCTGAAGGCAACGCTCCCATCTCCACCGCCACCCGGTGAGTTCTGAAATTCATTTGATATTGCACCACTGGGAAATATCAGCCAAGGTCACCATTCCATTCAAATCCTGCGGTGTAAAGCACAATGACTAAGTGATTTATAGAAATATCAAAACGTCATCCCAGCCGAGGTGACAATAGAATTTAATTTTCGGAGTTTAATTTGATTTTTCTAATTGAAAGTGTCAGTATGCTTTGTGATTGGGTCCTGCACACTCCTAGTGACTGCATTTCCATACAGATAATTAAATTGCATCCTATTTGGGGAGTTATCAATTTTTCTTCTACGCGAAAATAGAGATTGCAGATAAAAATATCAATGAATTTGAAGATTTAATCGCCGTCAGAGTAATTAAAGGAGTGAACTATGATGTTTTTACGACATTCATCCCTCGGGTGTCTGCTATTCTTGAATCTACTGGGAACTTATAACTCGCAGACCGAGCAAATCACATCGCCCGGACCCGATAATGGTGAGATTTTTTGTGAAAATTATTCGTGAGTGTATTTCACACTATCGATACCCATTAGTTTACGAGAGGAAATTAGTCAATATAATTTAGTGTATGAAATCATTCAGAATAATCGGGAAGTTTCTCCGAGAAAGTGGAGGTTGATTGTTTTAATAGAAATTCATGCTAGGGGATTTTGTTTTGCAAATGTTCAGTTCGACTTTCTCACCTTCGTTTTAGTCGATTTTATGGTTTTAATAAATTAATAAGGTTGTTTTTTCTAATAGATTCCTTGGGCAGGAATTTTCTAAATTGAAACACAGTAAAACCTAAATTACGCCGAAACAAAGCGTTTTTTACATCTCGCTAAACGTATTTAATGCTTAAGAAATCATAAATTTCGACCTCAATAGAAATCTAAATTATCTTAAGATAATCGTAAAATATATTTGACGATTAATTTGTGAGTAATTTACGAAAAAAAATCGCTCTAGGGTGGAAAGTATTCACTTTCCTCGAGCTGACTAGAAAGCAAACTACAAACTTTTCTTTGCAGACGTGTTAAACAATAGCCTGTGCACCTCAGACGGGGAAAACATGACTTTCCGCCCTTGTTGCACAATATACTATTTCTTTCTTCATCGTTAATTATGGATAAATAAATGGAAAATACGGAAAAAATCATCGTAATTTACGAAAACAAAACCGTAAATTACGCTTATGTAATCGTAATTTACGCTTCAACTTCAAGCGTAAAATACGTTTCAGAAATCGCAAAAGACGACTTTTTAAAGGTAATTTTCGTTTAGGTTTTTCTGCGTGCAGCGAGAAAAACGTGGAAAAATTAAGCCCAAGAATATTCTATAGAAAAAAATAGAAAAATTCCAAGAGAATGTCAAGGGAATTTTTTAAATAGAAACACCCAACCTTTTGGCTTTCTTCGACGGAAGATTTAATGAAAACAAATAAAATTTTTCTTTCAAATGTTTTCATACATGTTCATTCACATCGTTTTCCGCCCATTTTAATAAATTCGGAGGATCCTGCAAGCTTAGATTGTCGAGATTTTTTAATTAAAAATTCACGAATGAATTTTTCTATTTCTTCACAGGGAAATTCATTTAAACCTCATCAAACAAATCTTACAGAAATATCCGAATTTATGAATTTCCACCCCTCGAAAAATTCGCGTAATTCTCAACAGAACTCACCCCGCCCATATTATTCAAAAATGATCTAATCCTGCATTCCCCTTTTCCGTTCTCTGTCCAGCAACAACTTCTGTCACTCTAGCCCCAGTCACCGGAATGCATCGTTTTTTCCTTGAGAAAAACAAGCTAATTCGCCAGGTGAATGCAGACGTAAAAACCTTGTTACGTTACTTCCCAGGTGTCTCGGACGATCTAACCACAACGACTCGTTCCCTCGTCGAGATGAAATCCGTACTTTACGGCTGCATGAACGAAATCAAAGACATTCGTACCGACGTAGCCTTGATAAAATTTCACACCATGTACCTACCGAGGAACCTGACCCGGTTGAGCCATATATTGGAAATCCGAGACAGAATAATACTGCAGAGAATGAACAACGGCACTGAGACACTGAACAATTACTACGGAAAAATGCGAAAAGACCACAGGAAGATCCGGAGGGATTTAAGAAAATTGACCGAGTTTGTCGGAAATATGTCCGTTGAAATGTCCTGCCCTGCGGGTGCCCAGCCAGACGGGCAGGTGACCCCTCAGTCCGATTTTGTGGTGACCCCTTACCCAGATGCGACGGTGGACCCTCATCCGGACGCGCCTGGGGCCCCTCAGCCCTCAGATTTGCCAGCAGGTCATCACCCAGTTCATCCGCCTACATTTTCCCCGACGATCGAGCGCCAGCTCAGCACCCTGATATTCGGTCAAGAGCAGATAAAAAATAAAATCGACGAAGGTATGGCCAAACTGGAGGCGTCGATCGCTCACCTCGAGAGGAAACTAGAACTGGCGTTCGCCGATTTGAACGAGGACACCAAGCTCATCCACGAGAGAGTAGTCAGCGACATCGCGAAAGTGATGCAACAGATATCAGAGCTGAAGGGAATGATGACCTCGACTACTAGTCAGCCACCACCAACCTCTCAATCTGGTATAAAATTCACTGCATTCCGCCCCAGGCAACCGCACTCCCAGCGTCGTCCATTAAATTTATCCCTCCCCAATATAACACCCCGCCTCACCCTAGCCCAAATATTTAAATTCTGGTCAGTGATAAAAAGCGCCAGAGAGATATTCCATAGAATTCGAGAGAAGAAACCAGTTGTGGGACTCGGCGGGGCAATCGGCATTGGAAAGCTCATAGAAGTTCCCGAAGGATTTCCAGATTACTCGGGGCTCATGGGGGGAATTTCGGGGCTCGCGATGATTCCGAACGAGGAATTAAACAATTTGGGTAATTTGCTTTTGGAACTTCCAGGGATTTTCGGTATACCCTTACCCCCACTGTCGGAATTACCAAATTGGCTGGTAGATAACGCTGGGAAACCGATTGGCACGCCGAGACCCGCAATGCCTGGGCTAGATGACACGATTGAACCAACGGTTTTGCCCACAGAAGACCCTGAATCCTGGCTGCCCTGGCTGATACCAGAGCCGACTGCATCGCCTGATGCGTTTCCCGAGACAGTTGAACATCCTGAAATCGTGGATTTGGAGCCAGATCTGCCGATTCCACCGGCTCCAAAGCCCACGTTGCCGGCAGCGCCGGAGATCCCTCACCTTCCCGAAATTGTCCCGGAGCCCACGAAGCCAACGGTGCTGCAACCGGAAGCTATTCCGGATATCTATCCTACACAGGCAACTCAGCCTCCAACAGCCCCACCCACCCCATCAGCCCCGGAACCTCCGACTCTGCTGGAGCCCATCACCGTCCTCAAGGCAGCAGGCTTCGAGAATCATTGCGCCTGCTCTTGCCCCTGTGACTGCACCTGTCCAATACTGCCAATTGAATTCCCGAAGACCACATCGATACAGTGGTGGACGAAGTTCCATGAATCTCGACCACGTTCTAACGCTCCGCAGTGCAAATGTCTGTGCGCGTGTCCCTGCCCTCCACAACACACCACCAAGTCCCCTCATGCTGTCATGACGGAGGACGAAATGGATACGGAGAGACCGCCCTGGAGCCTCCAGGAGGATGATCCTCCCCATTATTACGATGACACCATGACTACTGATCACTGGCAACCCCCCATCTCTGAATCACCAACTTCTGACGGCAAGGATGACCATTGCGCCACGAAAATCGACGATCTTTCCAGCGAAATCAGGGAGCTCAGCGACGACTTCCAGATGCTGAAGATGACTGTGAGGGACGAGATGGTCATCACCAGGGAGGCCATCATGACTCAGATGAATGAAAAGTTCCTGGCTGTTTCGGCTGCGCTGGCTGGAACCCATTACACCAATGTCCTTCTTCATTCTAATGATAAGAATGCTACGGATTATATCGGGGAGATGATGAAGGGACAGTTCACGAGGACTTATTACACGCTGAGGGGTGTCACTGAAGCTGTCAACAGGATGCGGGCTGCTGTTCAAACGATGTGTTAGTTTTTTATTGTTTATTGTATTGCGGAACGAGATGTGTTGAGCCGACCCGGGACAATTCTATTCTTTGGTGATGAAGCTTTTTGCATTGTAGGCCACGAATATTTTCAGTTTTAACGTTCATTCATTATTCATCCTAAAAATTCTTTTTTTTATCGCTGTTTTACATCGCTTCGACCCGGTTGGGGTATGCTGCGATGATAATCAAGAGTTTAAATGGTTAGATCTCACCATTCTACCCGACCGCGTTTTCGACCGGGTTCATCGAATCGCGTCACAACACCTCTGTGTAATTAGAAACATCTTGTTTTTCCTATACATTCTCTTCATAGAATTTCAAAGAATTTGGATTTCTTTGAAAAAAAACAAAGAGATTTATGAGATTTATTTGGTTCTTCATAGAAGCAAATAAGTAGCAAAGTGGTAAAACGGTATAAGTCTATTTTGACTATTCGCCTGGTTTCAATGAATATCTCGGAATCTAAGGGAAATAGAAAAATTTTTATTATAACCATTTTTGTAGATCCCATTGAGAACTACAACAAATGTAATTATGAAAATTTCGCTATCTCTCTTAGATTCGGAAATATTCCTCAAAAACTCAACTGGGAGATAAATCGACTTAAATCGTTTTACCACTTCGCTACTGAAATAAATTTCCTTCGGAATTAAATCGCTACATCAAACCGATGATTCGCGATTTTCCTGTTAAATTGTCCATTTTTCCCGGATTCACCTTAGATGATCTAGATTGCTTACAAATCATTTATGAGTTTCGTTTGCATCTTTCACGTCACCTTGTACGTTCTGGGTGGAACTGATTCATTTGGTTCTTAAAACATGTCTGTCATTTTTGAGACAAGTTGAGAACATGTCTTCGAATTTTCCAGTGAGAGCTCATTACAACGGAATGATGAATCCTGAGCCACTGTATTACAATCCATATTGGCAGATGCGCTATCGGCACAGAGGAATAAGAGACCCTCTTTTTCGCAGATCCTCGCCCGCCGAGTCAGCCAGGGAATCGTCCCTTCCGACAGGTTTTCATGGGGAAAAATTATGAGTTGTGGTGATGAAGGAAAGATGAGTGAGCTATAAAAAAGGGTATTTCGTTATGCGCATTATATTTATAACGAAACGTAAATGATAAGTCGAGGGGAGGTGAATAATTACCGTTAGAAATAATGAATTTGTGAACACTAACGGATTACCGATTTTCCAGAAATATATAGAATATGGATTAATGTGACTTTGGCTGATATTCTCATTGAGTACTATAGGAGGTTCGTTATTAAATGAGAAAGTATCTTTTGGATAATTGCGTATTACATTTCACAGACCCTGAAATTCGGCGTCGACTTGACTTAACAGATGTAATGATCGGTTCTAAGACTGTTTTAATGAACAATATGATCTCTTCCATAATTTCTCCAGAAGTTAAAGAGAACTTACCTGATGAAGGGATTAAAAAGAAGTTAAATATTACACTGCCTCCACGTGAGTAGCAACAATTTTCTTGAAGTGACTGCACGGAGAGAAATGTTCAGTAAAAATTACGGAACTCACAGTTCGCTCACTGATTACGGAATAGACTCAGAAAATTTAAGATAACGGTATCGTAATTTTTCACAGGAGATTCAGGTAAAAATTACAGAACGCTCTGGAAAAATTCAGTGATTTTAGGTAAAAATTATGTGACAGCTCCGTAAAATTTCCTACAACCACATTGCGCTCCGGAATTACGGGAAAGATACGTAATTTTTATTGAACATTTCTCTCCGTGTGAAAGAACAACAAATGAAAATTCCCATAAAACGCCGATAGAATTTTCCTCTGAACTCTTCATGCTTTCTTTTGAAATCTTCAATACGTGACAAACAAATTGAATGATTTCAATGGCCCTAAAGTAATTATTGGAAATCTTTTTGTCATTAATTTTTAGATGGTGAAGAACCCCGAGAGAACCACAGGGATTTGCTAGATCGCATGAAAGATCTGTTAGCCTCGAGAGAGGAGAAATCAGAGGAGAAAGTCTCGAGTAAAATCAAAAAAGCTACCGTCGATGACGATCCTCCTCAAAGGAGTGAAAAGAATAGTGTTGTATCATCAATACCCAAGGAATTCCAGAGTCTAATGCCACCTGACCTTCTCAAAGACTGAGGCCGGACAGCCCTTCAGCTGGACCTTCAATGATGGAAAATCGACTCATTTCAACGTTAAAACCGATGGGAAACAAAGTTTCACTAATTACTATTTTAATAATATAAATCCAAATGACACATTCGCATCGACGAGTTGCTCTTACAGTTCGAGTACTAAGACGATGTACCGTAATTATAGAGACGTTGGAACTGTGAAGGACCCGAGTCGAATAATTGGATCTGACAAGTTCTACTTAGGTCTTTCCGTTCAGAACTGGATGGGGCTTGGGAAGCCTCTTCCCAAGTGCATCCGAGACCACTCAAATAGTCCGCCAATAGCCTGTCGCTCAAATAGTTGGAATCAACGTTCACCCGGCTAAAAAATTCGATTTTGGCGAAAGTCGACTTTCCCCCTGGAAAAATCCAAGATCTGACACTTTGGCCCTCGTGACCCTTGTAACCCTTTGACCGACTTTCCCTCTGGAAAAATCCAAGATCTGACACTTTGGTCCCGGGTGAAAAAAAAAATTTATTTCGACATTTCTGGCGCCTCCGAGGGTTTCATTGGCATCAGGGGGTCAATAAATATCAACGTTCCCTATTTTTTATTTAAACACCGTCTGCAAACGGAGCGATGTGGGTTGCTAAAATATATTCTGCAACCCTCTCTCCTCGTTGGCTACAAATGTTAACCCTCCGCATACATTCCTTCTGCCTCGACTCCCTCGTGAAATCCCATGGTTTAGATACTATAGAGGAGGGCTGAAAAGAACTGAAGATGCGAAAGGTCTCCAGAAAACTACGTCGCAGAACTGATTAGGACTTACCAGGTCAATCTAGGTCTGGAGAGATCTTGAAAGACCTGTGTACGTCCAATCAGACCCAAACCTCGACTCGGGGATTCGAATGAATTGAGAAAATTGTCCGGTGAGGATGACTCGAATGGCGATGATTAAATCGAAATCTTTATCAATTTTGGTTTTCTCCCAATAATTTATTATTTTGTCTTTGCAAAAACGTATGGAGAATTGGTTTATGAATTCGTGAGAATTATTCTATGAAAGTGTGGAAAATTTCCGTATGAAATCTTCTCATGTCACTGAGTTATTTATAATTCTTCAAAAGGTAATCTAATTATTCCTTGAGTTTCCTCGAGGAAAAGTCAGATGAGTTTTCCACCTGTGAGAGAATATCATGAAAATGCATAACCTTGGAACACCCTCAGACTTACCAGTTCCCACTTCAACCACTTATTGTCCTTTCGTCATTATTCTCTCATGATCTGTTACCCTCTAGTCCAAGTACATCACACAACGCTTTGTTGTATGGCTTCATTCGATTTCACGTGTTATCAAATGACCTTGACATCTGAACTTGGAAGTTTTCATAGTTGAAATAAATAAAATTGTACAGTATTCACTGAACCCATTACATTATTATCAACACAGGTCAAAGATCAACCAAATAGAATGATAATAAATCAGGAAATGAAATTGCCTCGATATCAATAATTAAATCAAAAAGTTTATTAAACTAATTATCAAACGTGGCGCAGCGACAATAATACACAATAATCAATTCCACACACCTATCATCTACCTCCCCTTCCCAACGACAAACTGTTTATCCAACGCCCTCGGATACGCCTTCCACGGCTTCTTCATCTTCTTCCCCTGTTTCCCCTTCATCTTCTCCATCCTCTCCCCGTGATCCCCGTCCGAATGCACTCCCCGCTGCAAGTCCCCACGCTCCCCCGTTTTCGCCGTCGACCCCCTGACCAAACGATTATCAACCGACCTCTGAATCCTAATCTCAAAATTCTTGTTATCGAAATCAACAAACTGTCTCCCCACCTTCGGAATCGCCTCCACATCACTGGAATACGGGACTCGCCCCACGACTTGATCGTCCGTCACCAAGTTTCGACGTTTCTCATCCACCCCCACAACATCCTGTCGAAATTCTTGATTCGTCGTTAACGGTACGTCCTCCACTATCTGATCATGAACCCTCTTCCCCGACGAGTCCTCACCCTCTGCCGCATCTAACCCAGTCGAGTTCATCTGACGAATAGAATCCTGAGGGTTCTGCAGGATTCTCTCGAAGCCCTTGAACTCATCATCGTCACCACCAGAATAAGCAACTCCCACCGGATAATTGAAAACCTTCGGCTCGTCCCTCGCAGCTAACGCTCCATCATCACCCCCTTTGTAGCAGCTAATCGGCTGTCCGTCAGCGTCAAAACCCTTGTCACAATCATTACTCTTCTGCTCCCTCACGATATCAAACCCCCGGATATCTTTCGTGCCACGAACTTTGGATTCGTCCGCCCCCGCCGAACACGGAAATTGAGAGGCACGTCGATTCGGACGATTTATGTCCCTTCCCCATGATTGCCTGGGGAGCTCCTCATCCCTATCAAGATCGACAACTGTAGCGATATCAGAACTTCTGTCGGCTTGATTGGTTCTCAACCCCGATCCCCTTCCCTGCTGATCCGGGTTTTTCCACCCGGACTGGCGATAATCGTCTTTAAAGAACAGGTACTCTTTCTCGGAATCATCGTCATTCCTCATTTTTTCAATCTTCGGACGTTCCAGAGTTTCTTCTACGACGTAAGCTTGCGGATTCCTCTCCAGATTGTTTCCCTTCTGCTTTTTGATCTGTTTCGCAATCCTCTTCGGCGTGGGCTTGACCTTGAGCGTCGGCTTTGGTTTGTTATTACGATTGCTGTTGTTCTTGTTGTTGGTGGTGGTGTTTTTTGTAGGAGAGCGTCGCGTGCTCTTGCTCTTCTGCGTGTTCTTCTGCGGAGACTCCTTCGTCGAGTTCTTGGGAGGCCGCAGCCGACGCGTTTGGAGGACTCGTCGGATCAATGGTAAGGACTTTTTCTTTTCTTCTCGCGACATCTCTGGTAGAACGTTCTTCAGGGTGACTAGTCCGTGCTCCAGCTTGTTGACTCGACTCTGCTTGTGGATCCGCTCGAGCTGATGGCGAAAATCGGCGGTCAGTTGGTCAACGTTTATGGTGGTGTCGGGACTCTCGGGGATTATTATCGAGATTATGTTGCCGACGTCCATCGAGGTGTGTGTCATCACTGGATGTGATGCTGTAAATTTTGGTGTTCTTAGGATCTGAGAATATACACTGATAGAATGATTCATTTATTCCAAACGAGATTCGTTAACTATTAACGAATGGGAGAGTTGAATATGACCAAATGAATATTCGTTAATAGTTAACGAATGGTTCACTTGAATGGCGAAAGTCAAGTCAAACAAGGCTCCTCAAATATACATTCGTTAAATATTAACGAATGAACATTTAGTGAGATCGAATAGACCCTAACCTCCAACCAAAATCCATTCGTTAACAATAACTAATCCGTTCTATCAGTGCAGGGAGGTTTCATATGTTAGTCACGGGAATTTTGGACACGTTTTTCCCCTCGGGCGGAAAGTATTTACTTTTCGTCCTGGCGGGCGCAAAATAAAGGGTCCTTACGCACCTGCTTACCACCCTCGGCTTCGGCCCGGGTGGTAATTCAGCACGCGGGCACGACTCCTTTACTTTCCCTCCCTAGGTAGAGAATATACTATTTTCTATGAACAAAAGTTGTAGATGAAAATTTTACAACGAACCGATTCAATCATATTAAATCATCTCGTTTATCGACAAAAGTTCCCCCAAAAATTTCTATATTTTTACTGAAAATACTTTAATGATCCTTCTATCGAACGGCGGAAGTTAAATGTCGATTTGTTGAATAATTTGTTTGTTATAAATAAATTTAGTATGTTCGAAGATATCGGCAAACGATTGTCGGCAAACATTGCAATTGGTGTCAAAAATTAGGAAATTATACGAAAAAAAGCAGTTTTTGAGGAGTTTATTTCAAAGTTCAATACAGCCAATGCATTTTATTTTATTTTTTTTCGTTCAACTGTTATCGCTCACTGAATAACAAATTGAGACCAAAAAAAAGTCTCCCGGCCGTTGGGACAATAGGACAATTAATAGTACCAAGCGCGGAAAGTCATGTTTTCCCTGCCCGAGGTACACATGCTTTTTTCCGTCCCAGCGAGCGCAAAGTTACATTTCCCTCCGAGGGAACTCTGACTTTGCGCCTACGCCGAGACGGAAAATCGCGTTCTAACCACGGGAAGTAAAATAAAGGACCCTCAGCCGCGTGCTTACCAACCTCACCTTTGGCTCGGCTGGTAATTGCACTTGCGGCTGAAGATCCTTTATTTTCCCTCCCTAGGTTAGAAATATACTATTTCAACACGCCTGCAACGAACAATTTGTATTTTGCTTTCTGATGAGCAGGAGGAAAGTGAATATTTTTCGCTCAAAGGTGGAAAGTAATGAGTGCTTTTCGCTCGACGGAGCAACTTTCCATCCTAGGGCGGGAAGTACTCACTTTCCTCCTGTTCATGAGGGACCAAAGTACGAGCTTTTCATGCAGGTTTGTGAAAATAATGCATTAAAGACCGGTTGTACCAAGTTTGGTTGAATAAATCACCAGTTAACGACCAGTTAACCCACAAGGTTCACATTGGATCAAATTTAACACAACGATTTAAACAGTGAAGAGATTAAACTAGAAAGAGTGGACATGGGGCAAAGTGGAACGATTTGTTATCTTCTCCTAAACCCAATATCTTCATTTATAAACAAAGATATTAGTAATTGGAGAATATCACAAAATGTTTGTTAACAGAAACAAAAATGTTGCTGAGAGAAATAGCAAAATTTCTAGTAAAGAATTGTATGATTGAAATAAGTCGAATATTTTTGGATATCGAGTTTCACTTACAGTGCGCTGAGTTAATTATCCAAAATATTGAGAGAAGTAGAATCAGGGACGATGGTGGGCCCATTGCTGTGGATTTGAAAGATTCCTCAAGACTGTAGCATTTAATCTCTCATAATTTCGAGCACTCGGAAGATTGATTGGACAATAAAGTCTAACAAACTGCTATTTATTGACTAATCACTCTTTAAGTGGTAATAATTCTCTGCCAAGTGCTTCATTGTTATGAAAAGTCGAAGGTTCCTATGCAAAGAAAGAGAAACAGTCAAGAGATAATAATAATTAATGTTTATTCGACTAATTACATTATAATTCGATTGAAATCAACCAACCCCGACGAATTTTCGAAGAGTAAAATTTGTAATTTTTTACATTGACGAAAACAAAATTGTAGACAAAAATAAAATTTGTCCCAAAACATGATAATTGTCGTAACAGTAATTGTAATTTTTAATGTAGTTAATAATTAGTCATTATAATTAAAACAACTGAGTGCTGGTAACCATTCCCCGCATCACACGGAGAGAAATATTCAGTAAAAATTACGGAACTCACAATTCGTTCACCAATTACGGAATCGATTCAGAAAATTTGAGTGACGGTATCGTAATTTTTTACAAGAGATTCGGATAAAAATTACGAAACGCTCTGGAAAAATTCCGTGACAGTTCCGTAAAATTTCCTACAGCCGGATTTCGCTCCGGAATTACGGAAAAGTTACGGAATTTTTATTGAATATTTCTTTCCGTGCGCGCGTGACATCTCCACCCAATTGTTCCAAACTGTTATATCTTCCGCAGAAATTGACCAAATTCCAAAAATCAAAATTCATTTTGTTCTTTACATTTCAAGGAATATTGTTCGCTTGCCGTATTTTTTTATATCTATCAAAATGGCGGTGTAAAACATATTCAAATAATTGAATTGTTAATAACTATTGACAGCAGGACTGTATTGCGTGCTAACTTACAAAGTCGGTGTCAGCACATAAAAAAATGAAATATGTGAGGTTCAAGAGCTTATGGACTAACGGTGAGGCAATGCAAGAGATAATGTTACTCCTCTGCATTGTTCGAATTTCAAAAGTATGGAAATGCTGGTCTCTTACTTATTATCGGACATTTCATGGGGTTCAAATCGCCTCCAGTAGATGTCTCTCGGGTAGCATTTGAATCAAGGTATCCAGATCCGATCAATTAGCCCCTCATGTATAGATATTCCAAATTTTAATTTTTTTCCTCATTGAAGTAGTTTTGAAGAAAATTGCGAGCTAATAAAAAACATTTGCTAGTTAGTACTTTTTTTAAAATAAATTTTTGAAAAATCACCTCTGAAAAAAAAGGCGTTATCCCCTCTATTTCATTGTTTCCAAAAATTGTTATCACCAATCGATAGCAAATTGTTTGAAGTTTTTGCGAGTTAAGAGAAAATCGTCAATGCAATCCTATTATTGTGTAAATTAACAATTGCAATTTCAACTGAAAACCAGAGATGATGACCAGAGTTTGTAGCAGAGATGTCAGACAAGATATGAATGTTTTTTTGGGCTCAAACGAAAGAGCGGGTCGAGAAATGGCGTGCTATGGCCTCCAAAGATGGTTTTGAACCAGGGGAGACTCCTAGACCCCAATGTTCTATACATCCTCCTAGACCGCATTGTCGTCCTAGACAATGATGTCACAACTCTGCTTTTCAATTGAAAACAGATATCATCTTTAGAGACATTTGTCATGTTTAGAGGCTCTAGCACGTCATTTCTCGACCCGCTCTTTCGTTTGAGCCCAAAAAAACATTCATATCTTGTCTGACATCTTTGCTACAAACTCGGGGCTTCAACTCGGGTTTTCAATTGCAGGCCCGAGTTGTAGACCCGAGTTTGTAGCAGCGATGTCAGACAAGATATGAATGTTTTTTTGGGCTCAAACGAAAGAGCGGGTCGAGAAATGGCGTGCTATGGCCTCCAAAGATGGTTTTGAACCAGGGGAGACTCCTAGACCCCAATGTTCTATACATCCTCCTAGACCGCATTGTCGTCCTAGACAATGATGTCACAACTCTGCTTTTCAATTGAAAACAGATATCATCTTTAGAGACATTTGTCATGTTTAGAGGCTCTAGCACGTCATTTCTCGACCCGCTCTTTCGTTTGAGCCCAAAAAAACATTCATATCTTGTCTGACATCTTTGCTACAAACTCGGGGCTTCAACTCGGGTTTTCAATTGCAGGCCCGAGTTGTAGACCCGAGTTTGTAGCAGCGATGTCAGACAAGATATGAATGTTTTTTTGGGCTCAAACGAAAGAGCGGGTCGAGAAATGGCGTGCTATGGCCTCCAAAGATGGTTTTGAACCAGGGGAGACTCCTAGACCCCGTTGTGGACAATGTTGTCACAATCNTGAAATTGGAATTGTTAATTTACACAATAATAGGAGTGCATTGACGATTTTTTCTCAACTCGCAAAAATCTTCAAACAATTTGCTACCGATTGGTGATACAATTTTTTGGAAATAATGAAATAGGGGGGATAACGCCTTTTTTTCAGGGGTGATTTTTCAAAAATTTATTTTAAAAAAAGTACTAACTAGCAAATGTTTTTTATTAGCTCGCAATTTTCTTCAAAACTACCCCAATGAGGAAAAAAATTAAAATTTGGAATATCTATACATGAGGGGCTAATTGATCGGATCTAGGTATCCTTCTTCTGTCATCCTATCGTAAAAAGATACCTTATATATTGCGAACGAAGTGATTTCTTCCAAGCTCTTCAGAACCCTCTGTCGACTTTTTTTACCGACAGCTTTGGCCTCCAAGTCCTTAATATTTTGCCAAGATTTAACGCACTAAATGCCATCAAGAGCTTATTCTATCTCCTTCCAACTTCACTCAGGGATTAGATTTAATAAAAACATGCTTAATACTCCGTTGGTCGTGCTACGAGCGCCTTGCCGCACGTTTTCTGATTTTTTAAATTAAACTGCAGTAAAACCTCAAAAAATTAAAAAAATCGCATTTTAAAGTGTCTAGAAGCCCTACTAATGAAAATATCTGCCAAAAATATCATAAGTAGTCTGATTTTGGCATATTTATTCTGAAACTTCGGGGCGTTTACCGTGTATACGGCAAATTGCCAGAAAAACATGGCCACTTTGAGCTTGAATATATAATTGATGGGCAGGGATCCCCATCAATATTAAATTTCTGTAATATTACAAGGATTTGACCCTTACATTATAGAAGGTTTAAAATATGTTGATTCAATTTTTCAAATAGTATATATTAATAATCTGATTTTTTACGAATAATGATATATTTAAAATTTGTTAATATGAAACTGTAAATTTACTACTAAATGAATAATTCAAATTTCTTGAAGGCGGATTTTCGATTACGCAAGTAATCCTAAATCTTCCTACCTCGATTATTGGTTGATAAAATAGTTGAAAATTTGAATATTTGAATTGATGATATTTAAGTACTCAAAAAATGTCAAGAGTGATGTTATCTAATTGATGGTTACAATATTTAACCGTAATAAAATATTACAAATTTGGCTATCCCTGTTGATGGGTAACACTAAACATAAAAAATCTCACGGGACTTTTTAAGTATACCATCTATATCCCTCGTGATTTTTCCTAGATCCTTCAAATTTATCATTGTTCAGATTTTTCTTAGATCTGCCAAATTTATCATCATGTCGATTTATGTTGGTGCGGCGCGGCGCTTACGGTGTGACCAACGGCATTCGTAACTTTTGCGCGACCAATGGAGTGTTATTACGTTTATTTAACTTGTTGCATGTACCAGCCTGGCAGGTATGCAAAACATTGAATATGTAAATGTGAATATGTAAATTTGTGATTGATTTGAAACTGGTAAATTATCGGAAACTGTTTTTTTTTCAAAGGATATTACATCGCACATTTTCGGAATGATTTCGTGGTAAACTGAGGGAAAGAGGATCTGTGGAGGAGAATTGGATGATAATAAAATTTAAATTTTGCGGTTTGCTCATTTTTTTCCCCTTTTCATACAGTATAAAAATCATAATTCTTACCAGTTGAGCATCAAAATATATGAAAGGTGTTTACCGACGGTAGTGGCCGTGCGGTTAGAGTGCTAGACTCGTATGCCAATGATCCGGGTTCGCTTCCCGGCACTGGCGGTCAAAATTTATAGCGCTCTAATCTCACAGTTTCACTGCCGAGCGGTAGTCCCGTCAAAAGGACGACTGTACCAGGGCAGGTTTTTCCCTCGAATGAGGTTTTCCCTCCCTTCGGCAAATGCGGTACAGGGGGTGGAGGGGGGTGGGAAGGGAACAAATCGTAAAGACCCGAAAGGGTATACGAGAAGAAAAAAAAAATGAAAGGTGTTTTCAGAAGAAAAATGGCAGTATCTATTCACACGCTTCACGGGAACTTTTATGCGGAGAGGATTTTTTTAGGAAAATTCTAGTGCTAGCACGGGAAAAGAGGCGCAAAGTGACGGCCAGGAAAAAATTCCAGTGCCGGCACTAGAAATTTTATTGGGAAAAACGTGAATTTTTCCCCGTATTTCTGTGAAAATTTCACAGAAATCCCCAGAAAGTTTACCAGAAATACCAAGAAATTTTACCTTAACAGCACTAGAATTTTTCACAGCCAGTGGATTGTGATTTTTTCCAGTACTCGTACTAGAATTTTTCTAGAAAATTTCTCTCCGTGTACCGTGGATATAAGGTAGATGGATAAGTGCATTGGGATTCTTATCAAGAAAAGTTTTTTTCTCTGTATAGAGAGAATAAATACTGGTGATTACGCTGCAATTCACTTTCTCGGAATTAAAAAACCCTGATGGATCGATAGGAAGGTCGAGTTGTTCACTCAGTGGAGTGCTAGTCGATCACGGTTCGATTGATTGACCATCGATAAATCAACGATCGACCATCGATCAAGCAACGATCGACTAGCAATCGTCCAATAATTGACCATCGACTAACCATCAACTAGCAGTCAACCAATGATCGACCATCGATCGACCGAGTAAACAAGTCGACCTCTCATCCGTTCGATTCTTCAATATTAAAAAAATTTCCAACTTACATTGATCAAGGTTCCAATATACTAATCGAAATTTGAAAAATAGTAAAATAATTAATAATCTACATTTCCAATTGATGATTAATTAAATATTCAAAAATATGGACTATAATTTTTTCTATTACGTAGATAATACTGAATTTCTTATAAGGGATTACCGATTATCAAAATAATCGTCAATCTTCCTAACTCAATCACTGATAAATGAATAATTCGATATTTGACTATTTAAATTGATGATTACTCAATAATTTAACAGTAATTATAATTTATGGATACGGCTATCCCTTGTCACATCGAGCCTTGATATTTCCGCAAAGGGATGAAGTGTCGCCGCGAGTCGGTCCCTGGTTCTGCGATGGTACTTCAACTATTCTCACTCCTCCCCCAAAAAACGAAGAATAAAAGTCGACAAGATAATTAACCCTTCCCCAACTCAAGCGTCCGCCACCGTCGCCTGTCCAAATAAACACAAAAACAGAAACTTCAACACAATCTCCGGCGCGTGTGTGGCTGTCAGTAGTATGTGTTCCCTCGGAGTGGGGGGAAATTCGTATCAGAAGCGAAACGAAGAAGTTGATCATCAGTGCAGGCTCCAGTTAGTTGTCGAGTCCCACTGGATGCTGTTGGCGCAAAAAATTCAGTTGTCAACGGACTCGTCAAAGCCCAAAGGTATGAGCGAATTTCACCCTTTCGCGACCTCCCCAGGAAAAACGTCGATGAATAATCTGAATAATCAGATGAAGTGGGATGGGTTTACCTGCAGCGTTGGGTCATGCACGCAAGCGCGTCTGCATGGGGGAGAGAACCCGTCCGAGTGGTGGAAAAGAAGCCCCGCGACTTCATCCCCCAGCGTGAATTTACAACTCGAGTCTGTGTTTTCATGTAAATATCGCGGATACACGCGCTATTCCCTTTAATCCTGTCACCACGCATTCGAGTGATTCATTCTTTCGTTGAAACATTTGTCCCGCGGGTGGATCTCATGCACAAGTAGTGACATTAGACGTTTGTGTACTGTCTCAAGGGTTCGTTGACACCGGGGGTTGAGACGATCGATGCGACTGGTAATGTTTACCATCTTCACTCAGTTGTGACTGGGAGAAAACATTATTTTTGCGAAATGGCCATTTACTTGAGAGAAGTAGTTATTTTTTCACTACCGTATTTCTCCAGTCATTCCCAGGCTATTCGCGTTAGGTTTCAATTATGTCAATTATATTGCTCTAGAAGATCGTCATTCAACATTGATATATATGACTTTAAAAAAATAAATGATTCAAGTAAATGAATATTTGGCCAAAATAACTTTTTCTCTCAGGATACAATTTTTCTCAACTGGAGTATTCCGGGATTCATGATCGTGTTTCCATATGTGGTTTGGACTTTCATTCAGTGAAAACTGATGAATGCAAGTTCACGATATTTTATTCGACGGTATTCGATAAATTCTTTTGGTTTTGAGCTGATTTTTTTATTTTATAATTGATTCACTTATTTAAACTTATTCAAACATAAAGGCTCATGCAGCTAATTTTTGTGCCAATGCTCTCGGAGCATTGCGCAGATTTTTGAAGTGTTTCTTGAAATAGCAAATAAGAAATTAAATGAAAAAAATTTAATATGAAATAAAAAATGATTTTTTACTAAATTCATAATATTTTGTTGGAAAAAAAATTACTAGATTTTCACAATCTCTCATAAATTATTCTATTACAAATTATTGTTCTTTCTTTTAGTTTTCAGACGATTTTATCATTTACTAATTTATTTCCTTATTTAAACTTATTCAAAAATAAAGACTTATCCAGTCAATTTGCGCTGATGCCCTCGGAACATTGCGCAGATTTTTCACGTGTTTTTTACAGTAGTAAATATGAAATGAAACACAAAAAGTATATAATATAAACTATAATCGAAAATGAATTTTCGCTAAATTCACAATATTTCGTTGAAAAAAAAATGACAAGATTGTCACATTCTCTCATAAATTATTCTCTTGACATATTATTCAATTTTTTGCTTGAATTTTTCCAGTGACAGACAATGGAAATTGGAAACTGTCGGGTAAATTTATGCCGTAAATTTATGGTGGAGATGGAAACTGTCGAGTAAATTTATGCCGAGAAATTCCCATAATCAAATTTACTCGGTCGTTCCCACTGCAATTTTTCAACTGAATTATCAAAAAAATGTCCAGTAGAATTTACGTTTTTCTGTGAACTTTGTACTCATTTGTTCAGATTTTATTTCCGTGATTCCGTGTTTGAGTTTAATGAGTTGTATCTCGGAAGTCATTGTTGATCGTTTGATAATGGGAAAGATTGAAAAAACAGTGTTCCGTGTTTCATTCAAATCTATCACGCGCCCGACCTTCGACCGAGTAGTTTTTTACCTCGTCACTTCAAAGTGAAAAGTGTTCATTGATGATAGACAATAGACACTTGTTAGCTTACGAATTGCGCTTAATGCGATGTTGACGTGAAGACTGCATTTTGACTTGGGAGAACGGCAAATGAGGAAGATTTGTACATTGATATCAGTGTCTTGTTCAGTCTATCATTTATTTGATTAATGACATTTACCCATCAGCACAATCCTCAATCGAAATGTCATTCAGTATCTACGTCCTACGGTTTAATTAAAATTTTAAAATTTAACATAGAACTCCGAGGGCTTAAACGAGCTGACAAAATATTTTACTTGTTGCAAAACTTCTCGCAAGAATACGAAACGTATAATCGACGTTGAACTTTTTGTGCACCAAATATTCTGACCCTCCCGTTATGGAATGCCGGCGAGGAGTGGACTTTGTTCCCTCGGATTTGTTGCGTACGAACCACTTGACTCCCGTGTAGATTACAATCCATTTTTCGATGGCACATCCTAATCGGAATTCATGAAAAACTCATTTGATTTTCCGGTAATTGGCTAACTCATTAGATTGATTAAGCAGTTAATTTAATTGTATTGTCGACATTATGGGATTTACTGAGACATCTTGAAGTATTTTTCGACGGCATATCCTCATTGCAATTCATGAAAAATTTATTTATTTTTCCGGTAATTGACTAATTTATGAAACTGATTAGTCATTCAATTTCATTATTGACATTATTGGATCTACCGAGACTAATCAGTCTAATCCCTAATAAATTGTTAGACTGATTAGAGATTTAATTTAATTGTGGACATTATGGGATCTACTGAGACATCTTAACGTATTTTTCGACAGCATATCCTAATTGCAATTCATAAAAAACTTATTCATTTTACCGGTAATTGACTAATTTATTAGACTGATTAGTGATTTATGTTAATTGTTGACATTATGCGATCCACTGAGACATCTTAAAATCCACAGTGAGAATTTTTTTATGTACACATAACAACAAAAAATAAATTTAAATTTCTAAACTCATTGTGAAAATTGGATTAAACCTTCAGTAGATTGAGAATTCAGAAAAATATTTGTCAGAGTGTTCACAATTCTCAACATTTTTTTTCCGCATGATATATAAAATTGAAATTTCGTTCAATATCCTAGAAATTAACTAATTCTTCAATAAATACACACATGGGGAAATTTCATATAGAACCAGTCGTTGTTGTAAATTTCGCGATTTCACGTATGAAAAAATTCAATAGAAGAACTAGCGAATTCGCTAGAAAATTCTATTGGAACTCTATAGGAATTCTATGGGATTTCTATAAAATTTCTGTTGGAATTCTATTGAAAAATTCTATTTGTTTTTTGCGTTGATTCTATTGGATATTCGATAAGAACAAGCCAATAGATTTCGAATTTCTGTTTAAATTTTTCTCTTGAGATTTTTGCTATAAGAATGCTTGGGTATCAATTTTCCAAGTTTTTTCCACTCGGATTCTACAATGCAAAACAAAACAAAATCCAGCGGAAAAACTTGGAAAAATTTTGTGTCCAATAATTCTAATAGAAAAAATTTAAGAGAAAAATTCAAACGGAAATTCGAAATATACTGACTTTTTCTTATTGAATATCGAATAGAATCAGCGCAAAAAACAAATAGAATTTTTCAATAGAATTCCAATAGAAATCCTATAGAAACCCCACAGAATTCCTATAGAATTCCCATAGAATTTTCTAGCGAATTGGCTAGGTTTTCTATTGAATTTTTTCATGCGTTTTTCCACTTGAAATTTCAACAGTAACCGCGGAACAGTAAGAGTGCATTATCTGATAATGAGTTCATGCTCCCAACGATCTTGAATAACATATTGTCATCGATCGATGACAGACAAAACGAATCTCTCCATCAGGGTCATTATCGCCGATGATCGCCTACTAGGCTCTCGAGTTGAATGATTTCTATCTGCCAATCCACGGTGGACTTTGTATCTGGATCAACAATTATTCTCATTCCAGGTATAAAACCAAGAGACAAAAATTAGAGAATAAAAAAAATTAAGAATAAAATTAAGAATAAAAAATCCCATAAAATATGGAATCCATAATTCGTGGCTGTCAACGCATGGGCCTGGTCCTGAAGAATGGCACGGGGATTGCCAATGTGACAGTGAGACGAGCATCGGTGGCTGCTAAGTTGAAAATAATCGAGGGCAACAACGGAGAGAGAATATTCACGTCACCATTCGGTGACATTGATCTCCCGTCCGCAACATTACCAGAATTCATATGGGAAAACGTCAACAAATGGCCGACAAGGATTGCTCTGGTGATTGAAGGAATTATTAATAACAAAAATAAGACGTATTCCCCGATAAATTCGTTGCATATAAACGAATATATCAAGTTTTGCTAAAATATCAAGTTAAAAAAATTTCCGAGCGCTTGCGCGAGGGATTTTTCCGGCGAAACTTGATGCGTTCGTTTGTATCCAGGGAAGTTTGAGGGAAATACTTCGAATCATTTTGAAGCTCCAGGGGTAGTTGGCGGATTGTTTTCTCTGTCGCCGTTTCAATAAATAGAATTGCGGTATTCGGTGTTGTCGTGGTGCAATCGACAATTGCGATTACCTGAATTGTACAGTAATTTTGCTGACTTCTATTAAAAATGATATAATTTTATTTTACGACGTACCAAAGAATTTAATAAAAAAACTAGGTTTCTGTTGAACTTTTTATGAGTTTTTGGCCCATTCTTTTGAAACGTTGAATAGAAAATATTCTAAAGAAAAAGTGAATAGAAATCGATTTTTCGACTCAAATTTTCTGCGATTTTGTTCATTATATTTTTCTCTTTTTTTCGTCAAGATTCCCATAGGCTAAAATTCATGAGAATAAGTCATAGACAGAAATCAAAATCTCTTAACTATTCTTTTCTACGCAACATAAACGAAATTAAATAACTGTGCCTCACAATTCGGAAAAATGATACAAGAGCTCCAATATAACTTCAATCGTTTTTTTTCTATAAAAGTTTTCACCACGCAACATTTTATTCAACTTCCTTATCAATCCATCTCATTTGTTGCTCAATGTACCACAGGAATGCAGTGTAACAGGTCGTAAATACACGTACGCTGAGGCTCGAGACAGTGCGAATTATGTCGCAAGGAGTCTGAGGAATATGGGCCTTCGTCATGGTGACGTAGTGGCCCTGATTCTTCCGAATTTGCCAGAGACACCGATCGCCCTCTTGGGAGCTGTGGAAAGCGGACTCATTGTAACCTCAGTCAATCCAATCTACACACCAGGTGCGTAAGAGGAGTATTATGCACCAATTAACGTTTAATTATTCTGTACAACTCATTCTATTGAGTCTTTTCCTTCAATTCCTCAGGATACATTATTCAAACTATTTTCACAGCATTTTTCTACTATGAAAACAATCTCCCCAGATTTTTTTCATACGTATCAAGACATATTCTATTGAATAATTTCATTTTAAAAACCGCGCACGTTTTTTCATTTATTTTAGTTCTGCGTGTGATTATTCCAAAAATATTCCTGAATATTAAGCTTTTTAATGCTAATAATTCTCGAAATATTGTTACGGAATCGAACGGTTCGATCTATCCTCTTCTCCTCTGTTGTAAAATAAAAGAAAGTTGATTGTCATTCTCTAATGTTTGGGAATAACTTTATGATTGATTCATCCTTGTTCCACGATTGATTCTGAAGAACTGTCAATAAATACTTTTTCATACGTATCAAGACATTTTCTATTGAATAATTTCATTTTAAAAACCGCGCACGTTTTTTCATTTATTTTAGTTCTGCGTATAATTATTCCAAAAATATTCCTGAATATTAAGCTTTTTAATTCTAATAATTCTCAAAATATTGTTACTATCCTCTTCTCCTCTGTTATAAAATAAAAGAAAGTTGATCGTCATTCTTTAATGTTTGGGAATAACTTCATGTTTGATTCATCCTTGTTCCACAATTAATTCTGAAGAACTGTCAATAAATACGTCCCTTGGATTAACTGATTAATCCCGCGTTATTACTTAATTAACTACAACAATATTGAGACCTCATCGGGACCCAGCTCTTGACATTGCGGGGAACCCGCGCCCTCATTATTCATAAAAATTGAGTGGACTCTCAAACAAACAATCCACGATAATTCGTTTCAACCTCTGTACTTTGTCCTTTGCATCTGCTGCAATTGTCTTCACAATTTTTTTTTACCTAACAGATTATGAATAATGAACGATAAATTTCCAAGGTCCGTCATTAGACAATGGTTGAGTAACTGCGCAGTATTTTCCCAATGGAAAACAAAAAATGCATTCCGTAATTTTCACAAATTGTCAATGTCAAAAGCATCACAAACCCACGCCGAGTCTAATAAACGTTTGGACTTTGGATCGCTTAAAATAAATATTAAGCGTGGTTGTGGCTTCAGACGATAGCAAGTATCGTCCCAATGAGTTTGAAATAATTCTATCATTCTATTTGTTACGGTGATTAATTATCAATCACAGTTGCCTGCAGCGGACTCGTCTGGCGACCTTTGTCTCAACTCAATATAAACAATACGATTTTGCTATCGAGATTATACAATGTCCGGGTCAATCAAAGTGTGGACTTTGCTCGGTGTACTTGAATTCATTTAGGCCAATGTGATTTAATCAGGCACATTTTGATTGAAAACATTGTTGCAGACGAAATAGCGAGACAAGTGAGACTATCAGGTGCCAAAGCTATCATCACATCCAGTGATATTGCGCCGAATGCTCTGGCAGTGGGGAAAACAACACTCCCACAAAATGCACCAATCATCGTCGTTGAGGATGGAGTTAGACCTTTGCCCGAAGGGACAATATCATTCAAAGTATTTTTATCATGTTGTTTTGTCGTTCAAGTGTCATTAGAGATTGCGCAAAATGAATGCAGGGGTTGATTCGTTATGTTCTTGTTTTTAGGATCTCCTGACGAGGGGGAAAACTCTGCCTGATGTGCCGAAGAGTTCTCAAACGCCTGATGACGTCTGTATCATGCCTTATTCCAGTGGTACCACAGGATTACCTAAAGGCGTCATGTTGACGCACAGAAATCTCGTTTCCAATTGTGCTATGAGCAATCACAGCACACTGCTGAGTAATGGTAAATATGATGGAATTTATTGTACATGATTTTTCAGTTTCTTCTATTGATTGATTGATTGCGCGGAGAGAAATGTTCAGTAAAAAGTGCGGAACTCACAATTCGCTCACCGATTACGGAATCGACTCAGAAAATTTAAGTGACGATATCGTAATTTTTCCCTGAATTTCCTGTGAAAAATTACGGAACGCACCGGAAAAATTCCGTGACTTTAGGTAACAATTACGTGACAGTTCCTTAAAATTACCTACAAATACATTTCGCTCCGGAATTACGGAAGAGACGTCATTTTTATTCAATATTTCTCTCCGTGTGATTGAGGTTTATTAACCCTAGTCTGGTCACCAAACGCCATCCTGTGACTCTGGTCACCTCCGCGGGGATTCCCCGCTGTATTAGTCAGGCTCTAGCGTTACCGAATTCACTCTACAGTGCCCGGGCGCGTTTAGCGAGTTTCCGGCAACGTCGCGTACAGGGCAATTTCATTTAATATGGGATAAAATAATTCATCTGTTCGAAATCATGTGTTTTCTTTAGGAATTTCGGGAAATATGTTGTTCTTGAAACTACTATAATTCTTTAGACACTTCAATGGACAAAGTCAATTTAAAAAAAAAATTTCCGGTTATCCAGTCAATTGTAATTAAATAAAAACGACGCGTGGCGGGGTTTCCCTCATATGGTGAACAATCTCGAGTTAACTGTACATTATGTTGTACAAAGTAAACATGACATAAGTCATTAAGCAGGAAACAGAAACACCAAGCATAGAATTACTATAAGTGGCTAAAGCATAAGAAGACATTGAAACACAATAAAGCGAATGAAGCCATGAAGCATTTACATGAGGGATACATCATGAAGTCAAAATATTCATGAATGAAAAAGAATTTTGTAATACAATTAATCTGTTGTTCATCTCATCAATATATTTCCGTGTTTAGAATATTGTTATCTTGTGTTTTCAATTCCAACTTAAGTTTCCGAGATGATTTTTGATTGAGCTGATTTTTGATTAAATTTTAATTTTTAATGTGGAACTCAGCCGAATCAAAAATCATCTCGGAATGCATTTTTTCTTTCAGTTCTAAATTGAAAATTAAAATTTAATTTGGAACTGAAAACACGAGATGACATTCTAAGCACAGCAAGAATATTGAGTCACAGCTTTTTTATTCGTACCAGAAATTTTGTATTTGGATATTAGTATTATTCGTTCAAAGTGAAAAAATCGATCATCGGTTTCGCCACATTACATCCACATTCTCCTATCCTTAACGTCAAAAATGTGAAATAATTTCATAATTATATCAAATGGAAACGCATGAAAAAAAGCTGTTAGATACAATTTAAAGTTGTGTACAATTTTAAATTCAATGGACAATGTGATAATTGAGAATCTCTAAATGGACAATATTCAGCAACAATATTCAGTAATTTCTAGCATCCCAATGATATTCGCGATTGAAAGTAACTTCAATTTCCATCCCCTCAATTGGAGAAATTAATCTTATTATTTTTACAAGCGACAGACGATTGTCATTCTTCGTTTTGCACTGCTGCATCCAGACATCGTGTGCTAAAAACAAGAAATCTTATCTTCTGGTTTATCATAATTGTAGATGGAACTGGAGATGGAAGTCGTTACGGAATATTTAGACGCTTGCATTTATTAAACGCGTTCATTTAAATTGCTCGTGGACTTTGTTTTTCCTCAAATCTTGCGCGAAAACATATATTCAGTTCCTGATGCGGCAGGGGGTGGCAATTTGAATCGGAGGTGCCTAGCGAAAGACAATGCATGTTTATGGTGCTTGGTGAACTTTCGTAAATTTGCCTGCTAATCCGATGACTAATAAAAATCTTCAATGCGTAGAAAATGAAGCGACTCAAAACGATTAAAATTTTTCATTCATTTGAACGATTTTCTTGTTGAAAATTAGTGAATTTATATTTATTTCGATGGAAATGTTTTTATTGCACCAAAATTCAAATTTTAAAATGAAGAATTATGAAATGTTAATAGATTCGCTTTCTCCATTTTCTAATTTTTTTATTGATGCATTTTATTCCAGACGTTCAAGATGTTATCCCTGGAGTCTTACCTCTGTGCCACATATACGGACTGAATAATATGATGCACTCGAGGCTGGTTTGTGGGGCTCACATCATTACTCTCCCTTCCTTTACTTCAGAGAATTTCATCAATGTACTGACGAAGCATCAAGTGAGTGGAAAACCTCAATTTGAAAATCCTCACAAACAAAATATGTTTTACATCACAATATCTAAAAATTGGTATATATGAAAATTTATAGGAAAAATCTGAAAAAAATCAACACTCTCTTTGGATATATAATTAACGGAACCTCGCAGGATTTTTAATCGGAAGTAATCAGTACTTGCCGCCCGCGTGCGTAAAAAGTTGCTCCCTCGGGCGGAAGTACTCACTGTTCTCCCGCTCGTCAGGGAGTAAAGTGCGAACTTTCCATGTAGACATGTGAAAAAATAAATACTTCCCTCAAATAAATGGATATTTGACAAAAATGATTATTTTCTGTCACTGTAATGTTGTAGTTTTGCCACAATTGTTGTGATTTTTACAGTATATTCTGATTGCAATTGAAAAGTCAATTTTTTTTGACGTGGATACGCCTATGGTTTCAATATAGGGGGTCATTTTGGGAAGCGGTCCTTATGTGCAGCGCCATCTATCGGAATTCTAGAAAATTTTAGACATTTCGAGGTAATTCGAGAAGTTTCTTGCAATTTCCAAAAAATTCAAGGAGTTTCTAGAAATTTCGAGGAAATTCAGGGAGTTCCCAGAAAATTCGAAGGAATTCAAGGAGTTTCTAGAAAATTCGAAGGAATTCAAGGAGTTTCTAGAAAATTCGAGAGAAGTCAAGGAGTTTCCATAAAATTCGAGGGAATGCAAGGAGTTTCTAGGAAATTCGAAAAAGAAGGAAAGACCATGGACGTATCTACGTACAATTACAGCTGTATCGAAGATACAGCCGCCTACAATTTTGAATTTTTTTCGTTATTCAATTAATGGCAATTAATGAAAACCTACGTGCTGCGGCGTTTCCCTCGTATAGTGACCAATCTATTGTTGATGAAATTTTTTCAAGCACGTTCATTTGCATTCAATTAATCAAGGCTTTCTTGTATTATCCTTCAGTGTACTTTTCTATTCTGCGTTCCATCCATACTGCTATTCATCGCCGCATCACCAATGATAAAAAGAGAACATTTCAAGAGTTTACGTGGTATCATCTCTGGCGCAGCACCAATTAGTGAATCAGATATAGAGAGAGTTTATAATCAATTTGGGATTGATCACCAGACAGTACCATTCCTCCAGGGTAAGTTGGTATTTAATAGTTCAAGGATTTTTCACAGTTTTTAATTGAGGAATAGCCCTTTAAGGAATGCCCCTAGAATACAGGTTTTTCTTACGATTGTCCCCATATTTTCATAGATAATATTCTTTGAAGTTTCGTAGAATAATTTGGTATCTGATTCAAACAATTAAGTAACGAATAATCAACTTCCCGACCCAAGGGAGAAAGTTATTGTCGTGACCCCAAAAATGAAATGTTGAATTTCGATTATTCGTCCACGTTTCATGACCTCTTGAGCCATCCTGATACGTTTTTAACGACATATGTGTGTGTGTGTGTGTGTGTGTGTGTGCCTGTGCGTGCGTATATATGTATGTGATGAAAATTTTGTCCAACGATTTCTCCTGAACAAATGAACCTATTCAACTTTTTGTTTTCAATCGATGAGTCTTCATGTACTTAGAACTGATTACATCACGTAAATGATCGCCTCTGCGGTTTGTTAGTTATTCGCATAAAACTTGTAAAAAAAACACTAAAAAGCGACAATTTTATTTATATTTGTCGATTTTACCATTTTGAAATACCGATGGAATAAAAATTAATTTTGTATAATCGATGCGTCTTCACATAACTCGATTCTAATTGAATGTTGAGCGAAATCGTCTCAGCGGCTGTTCAGTTATTTGGATGAAACTTTCAAAATTTCGCCCCAAACAAATTCATTCCAAAACAAATCAATCCCACGACAATTTCATTCCAAACATCAAATTCCAATGGAATTTTTCACGGTCACAACACTAATTCAGGGAGAGAAAAATATTAACTTCATTTTCTCAGAAAAAGGCACTAAACACAACACCAAAATCAATCAGATACTTCACGATTCCCTCCTAGTATTGTTTACACAACCGATCAACGAATTAACAGGAAACATTGCAAAAAACCGGTCAAATCATTCTTATCCGTCTCAACTAACCAGATAGGCCACAAGTAATAGACCACAGCATCAGTTTACAAAATCAGTACAAAACTTGAAAATTAATCTGATAAGTCACGCGCTTCAGCAAAGCGTATTCTTCATCCAAACGGTGATTATAAAAAATGGGATGAAGCTGTCGTGAGATGAAATTGTTTGGGATGAATTGTCATAAGATGAATTTGTGGGATGAATTGTCATCAAATTTGAATTATCCTCAGAAAAACTCAATAACTTACGAGAATGCAATAAATTAAGTCATCTAGAATTTCTTCCAGAAATCCATAAGGACTAACTTTTGGGTGCCCTTTTTTTCGTTGTCCTGGATATACCTTAATCACTGTCTTCTTCTTCCAGGATATGGACTAACAGAATGTACGGGGGTTGGATTTCTCCAGTCCTCGAACAGTAAATATGCAAGCATTGGACATCCGATCGCAAACAGCGAGACGAGACTGGTTGATCCAATCACAGGACAGGACGTACAGACACCAGGTCAGAGTGGTGAAATTTGGCTGAGGGGCCCACATGTTATGAAGGGGTACTACCAAAATGAGAAAGCTACGAATGAGATGTTACAAGATGGATGGCTGAAAACGGGTGATATTGCCTACTTCGACGATGAGTTTACGTTTTTCATTGTCGACCGGCTGAAGGAACTTATCAAAGTCAAAGGCTTTCAGGTAATGATGAGTTCACGTACGAAAAAATTCCACAGAAAAACCTAGAGAATTTGCTAGACAATTCTATTCAATTTTTATTGAACTTTCTAATAGTTTTTGGCCGATTCGATTGAAATGTCTCTTTTCAAAAATGCATGTAATGTTTTCTGTCGCCGATCTATTTAGCTATAATTTAACTCTATTCATAATTTTTTGTGTTTGATTTTCTTGATGAAAAGAAAAAATAGAATGAATTATTTAGAATTATTTAGGACTATTCGTCCACATTCAATGTGTTTGCATAATGGTATTTACTATTTTGATGATTCGTACCTCTTTCAGGTTCCACCTGCTGAATTAGAAGGCATCCTCAGAACACACGCTGATATTGCTGACGCAGCTGTTGTTGGTGTACCTGATGAAAGATATGGAGAAGTCCCGAAGGCGTTTGTGGTGCTCAAGAAGGACCACACAACAACCGCAGAAAATATCCACAATTTCGTCAAAGGGAAAGTTTCAGAGTACAAACAGCTTCTAGGTAGAGTTTTAATTCTTATTTAGTCCCTTTGATTTCTTCTTCTAAGTTTAGTTTAAAGATTATCTTTCGGAAAATGAGAGATAGTAAAATTTTTATGGAGACAGTTTTTTTAAAGTCGTATCTACAACAAGTCTGAATAAAAAAAATTGCAATCTCCACTACAATAAGTTCGGAACTTGATTAATTTTTGCATTTTCATTTTCAGGAGGAATTGTGTTCATTAACGAAATTCCAAGAAACGCATCAGGCAAAATCCTGAGAATACACTTGAAAAACTTGCACCATGACGAGTGAATTGACAATTACAAACCCTGAAGAAGCCTTCGGGATTTTGATTATGCACTCATTGAAGCAGTGGTTGAACCACAATAAAAACGGAAAAGAAGAAGAAGTGAGCACACAACTATGTACAGAAAAATTTGATAGAATTCTGTTGATTGTTTGCCGATTCTTAAAATGAATTTTCTTCCAAAAGTTTTTCATTCATTGAATCTTGTTTTTCTCATGAAAAAATCCATTGAGAAAACCTGGAAAATTCAAGACGAGGAATTCGTTCGCAGAAAATCGTAACAAAACAAAATCTGTTGATTTTGACTGTAAAAGTATCTTCGGTTGTTTATTTATATTAAAAAAAAAAAACGATGAAAAAATGCAACATTTTTTAATGGAATTCGTGAAAAAATAATACATATCGCAATAGAAATACACCAGAATTTCTTACGAAATGTGTGTTCTATTAAATTTTTCTGTATGTGACTGATAAACCATGCAATGCAAAAAGTTGAAATGAACTTGAAAAATGTAATTTTTCACTGTCGAATTTGTGCCTTGAATTTTCATAATCATTTGTAACTTAGAAACAGGTACAGTAGACTCTCGCTACGACTTCTCGGACGCCGGAGCGCTGGCCCCCACCCTCGGCCGCCTTTTCGTTTTCTTTTGTCCTTCGTACGTAAACACAGAGGTCCAAATAATTTTATTCGAAAATAAAACTATTCATTCCCTCTCATTTTTCTGAGAACTTGAGTCGGCATTGGTTGCGGAGTGGAGGCCGGTAGAAAGTTGCTCATATCTTGGAAATGCTACCCCTACAGCCCTTTTGATGAGCAACTAGTGAGAGTCTACTGCATGTGCGGTATTAGACTAAGGATAGATTTAAGGTGTAAATATCGAATTTTATACACAGACAGGAGGATAAATCTTATGAATAAAAGTGGTTTTACAGGGAAAAGGTGAAGAAAATTACCAATGAGTTTTGATTTTTACGTCTGCAGCACATCTCAATAAAATGATAAATGAGATGAAGAAATTGAATGATCTAGATTCAAACGCTATTCAAATTTATAAAAAAAATAATAATTTCCCATCAACATTTTAATGATCGTATTTATTAACTTCTTGAAATTATATCCTTAAAATATATATTTTGTACCCATAAACGGCATTACTTCAAATTGCCAGAGAAAAACATCGCTTTCTACCATACTCGAGGCACTCATGCAATGCTCCATTAAATATAGATATAACCGAATTTGCAAATTGTTCATTTGCAATTTCAGACTTTAGAGCAGCCAAATATCTTGAACTGACACGCCAAAAGCCTTCAAAAGGCACTTTCAAAAATACCTGAGTAATCCGCGAATAATCTATTCACATCTCCTACATCATCACAAAAGCTACTTCGAAATAATAATGAAAAAAAAAAAAAAAACAAAATCTTAATCATACATAATCATAAAAAGAAGCGGATTCTTTTATGATAAAAATCTCAAATCTCTCCATATCCTTCGTAATCGTACAACAATCGAATTATCTCAATCATCTTTCCACGCACAAATAAAAAATCGTAACAAAACCTAGCGGATTCACCGGGAAATTCTATTGGATTGCTGTTAAACTTCTATTAGTTTTTCGTTAATTTCGTTGAAACATCTCGTAGTTTATTGCGGATTTTTTCATGAAAAATATCCAACAGAAACTCTTTCAAAGATAAAATCAGTAGAATTTGACCTTTCTGTACAACTTTTTCTATTGAAAGATTTTCATAAGAATTTTTTGACATCAATTTTTACATTTTTTTCACTCCTTTCTTTAACAAAAAAAAAAAAATAGAAAATTAGATCCTAGATATTTCAAAAGAAGATATCTCAATAGGATAAGTTAAAAAGAAAAATCAAATTTTACTCAATTGCGTCATCAGCCGAAAAGCTGTGGAATTTTTCAATAGAATCGGCGAGAAACTAATAGAAGTTTCAATAGAAATCTCATCTAAATTTGGTTCGATCAACCATTATTAACGCATTCCTCAATGTGAGGAAACGATCACTTCAATTTTTTAATTTCACATACGCCTTCTCAATCTCTAAAACAGAAATGTAATAGAATTTTCTAGCAAATTCGCTAGGTATTTTTCGTCTAATTTTTTCGCGCGTGCGTTCAACCAAAAAATATAAAAGAGCAACGTCGAGATAAAATGCGGCGCTAAACGAACCCCTAAACGACAAATTAACAAAATGAAATGGGTATAATTCTCAGTTACATTTAAAACAACGTGTAGAAACTAATAAACCGTAATAAATCCACATGAGATGTGTCAACTAACCCAAAACAATCTCACCTTGCTCAAGAGAGCATTCTAATGAACCTTAATTGTCGCGTGCTTCATCCTTAATTAGTCACTCGTACTCTCTCCCCTCTCCTTCGCTGGCATCTCAATTGTAATAGAAAAATAATTTTTATTTTGATCGCGTGAGATTTCCAATGAAAGCATCGACACCCTCACAATTCCTTGGCACAAATTCCTCCAACAGCAGTATCGCCAACTGCTAATTCACAGTCTCATTTGTTGCCCTCGCTTCATTGTCATCACTCATTCAGCGGGAAAACGGTTTCAGAAGCAGTTTATATCGCTCACTCGATGGATCTGAATGGAGAATAAAACAAAGACCACAAATTAACCCCAAAATTCTACAAATAAATGAATGGCCTCATTTCTATAGTCAATAAATTCAATTCAAATTTCAAGGGATGTTGAAGAAAAAGAAAACCACATTCATCTAATTCTCATTTCACAAAGCTTCGTTAATTATTTTAGTTCTACCGTGACAACAAATATAAAGATTATTGAAAACAACAAATAATTTTCAGCAAACACGATTAGATTCGATGTCGTTAGTTCCTTTCTTCAAGTTGATGACCGTTTTCGTTTTTTTGAAGAAAGAATGTTGAAAAATCAGATTTGAGCCCAGCCTTTTTTGTAAAAATCCACATTTCTACTAATTCACGTCTAATATCAGATTTTCTTCAGTAAAGGTAAAGAAGAAACCAAAAGTTTTTCACCTCACAGAAAATGATCAGTTTGTAAACGATTTCCATTATCTCTTTATTCAAATTAGGTTTTATCAACCATTATTAACACATTCCTCAATATGAGTCAAATGCCGAGTACTTAAATTTTTTTCATTTCATAAACGTCTTTTCAATCTTCAAAAAGAATCATCTATTTATGAGAAAAAAAGTTCTAAAAAATATAAATATTTTACTAAATTTAGTTTTGGCAATGTCAATGAGGTAAAAATTCTTCCGAATTTTTCTCACGCAATTTAGTTAGAAAGCCCAAACACTGAACATATCAAAATCAATAATAATAATAATAATAATAATAATAATAATAATGCTACAATGTCTAGTCTTGTTACTCACTCCACCAGTTATCTATAAGGATGCCCTGTAAAAATTTAAAACAGACGCCTGCCGATGACACAATAACAACCAAGCTACCAAAGCAAAAACATTGTGCGCAACATCGTGAAATGAAAAATAAATGATCGTTATTTTCCTTTTCTCCAATATCCCCTGAAATTCTATAAATAACCCTAAAAAAACAGATCAATCAAATAATCAATAAATAATCCCACAAATTACCTCTTATTATTTCAACCAGATACATGCACTCATCCTTCAAATTAGCAACAAGCACATCGGACACGAACGCATGAATCCCCTGTGCTATCTGAAGTAGAACTAAATGTAGACGATCATTGGGTAAATTGAATGTAGCAATTATCTCGCTGGCCAATGCACTGCTAGTAAGACTCTGAAGATTAACAACATGCCACATTGGAGGACCACTTCCCTCAATCGCAACATAGAGCGTCAACTTGGGTGTTGGTGGCTTTGCCTGGAGTGCATTGAATAATCTTATTCCATTAGCAAGCCCACATATCTGAATTAAATCGTTCCTGGACAATTTGAGAATATCAGCAGCTGTGAAATTTGAGAAAACCGCCTCGAAAGCCTGAAAACGATTGGCACGTAACCAAGCGCAAGTTTGAACAGCGCTGGCATCAGCTGCTAGCTCCAAAGGTGGAGATGTGGTCAAGTCATTGCAGTTTGTTTGATCAGGTAAAATAGCTGGTGATGAAGGCGGACGATTGACAGGCATAGAGGACGCATTAGTGTCTTCCTGGGCAGTCTGTTCCAAGCCGGAAATTTGCACAACACCAGGCGTAGCAACTGGTGGAGCCACTGGCACAACTGCCAGAGAGGGTGAAGCAGCACCAATATCATTCAAACTCTGTTGTGAACTGAAACAATGAAAAAAAAACAGAGATGACAGATAATAAGAGGCCAATAATCTCAGTCATACAGGACTCAAAAATCACCATGAAATATTAAGGAATCCTTACTTATTGGTATCCCCCATTTTAACGACTGTTCCAAGAATATTTCCTCTACTATAATCTCTCCGATTTCCAAGGCGTTTAACAGTATTACGCCCTCTGGATAGAACCAGATTAGCCAGATACTTGCGACCAGATTCACCCAATCCCGCAAGTGTTTGCGCGTAATTCGATGTATACAAAACACGTGCTACTACTTTAATACCAACCGAGTCACATCGGCCGATTATTATTTCGTACACCAGTAGCATTGGATGTTTGCGATAATCGACGAAGAACCAGCCCGGCGTACTTCGTGACATCTTAGTCATGATTAAGTTTGATAAATTAAACTGCACCCCACGTTATCTTGAAAATTCTCCAACGTAATGTACCTCCAATAGTCACCGGTAAACTAATGAAATAACTATTGTCCATCCAATCTTTATCAACAATCAATGATGATAATAGAAACAATTACTGAAACATCGGCACACCGATGATCAGGCTGCTCGTCATCTGAGGTAACGAGCCTGATCTGGATGTAACTCTTCCTGGCAGCCGGACATTCTAGCGAAGAAATTCTGCTTGCTCTTGCCGATATTAATTACTCGCATTTCCATTGAATCGTTCATGAATTCAATTGAATTCTCAAGGACACGCTGCTGCTTCTGCTCTACAAGGTTAACGACCGTTGCTATGAGACAGATCATTCCCGTTGAATGATAATTCCAACAGTCCCAACAAGGTTCTCTCAAAAGACGACACAAATACTTTATCCACAGTTCATACGTCTTAAACTAGAAAAATTCACCGAAACTCATGCAATTTATCGATATTAACTTCGAATCGCGGAAGTGAAATGAAGTCACTTGGATTGTGAAACTAGCGGTAAATCATGTCTGCGAGTTTTTCAATAACTTATTTCAATTGCAGATCAAGCGGTGGCCTTCGAATAGCATGGGAGAACAATCGAAAAAAAATTTCGAAAAAAAACTGGTCGCGATAGCACGTTTTCCGCCGGAGTACAACCGCGAACTGACTTTCCGTCTGAAACGCGCAGCCACAAGCTGTCTCTCTCTTTCTCCCGTCTCTCAGTTCACTGACGAAACACAATTACTAAAATACGGGCCAAAGCCAGTCTCCTCCAGTTGCTGAACCGCCGAAAAAGAAAAATAACGCAATACGAATCACGGAAAATAAAGCAGGGGAAAAACTGAAATAATCCGGTGTAAACGGTACAAAACCCGAACTACTGTAGTGCTATTCTCAAGAATACATCCAATGGTATCGTGAGGTAGAAGTAGTCGAGGCTATTCCCATCCGATACGTTTGCACACTGCTGTTGGTTCCGCTGGTTACAACAACTGGCTTGTGCCAGTTTGAACCGGTTCTTGCAGTTGATCTCAAACACTTTAAACCACGTATATTGCAGGCCAAGCCTTCGACGAAACACAACGTATGAGCTAAGCACAATTGGCGAAGTACCTCACACCACCTAGTGTCGTTTAGTAACGCTTGCCGAGGGCCGGTTATATCCCACCAGACACTTAGCCCATGCCTGCATTCACCCTCTCACTCTTCCTTTTATTTTATCGTGATCCCCACCACACAAACACATACACGAATGTTTATTCATGGACTGAACCGGTTGCATACTGGCTCAGATACCGCTGGAGGTCTCCAAATGGACATGTTGCGTGGGCTTATCATTTTGTCCACTTGCGTGCTACCAATTCTCACATCTAATGTGGAATTTCTAAAGCACGTTAAATGATGGTAATGTGCGCGAATGTTTGCAACAATTATCAATTAGTTTGGTGGACTTCGATAAAACGCTTATATCTGTCTATCAATCAATACTATCGGTTGGATATCACTCAATTGTCCGCTATTCCACGCACGAACACATTTAATAGAAAACTTTGCGAATTCATTACAAAATTCTATTGGATTTCTATTCTGAACAGAATTCAATTTTTCTATTTAATTTATCCTCTTTAGAAATTTTCTACGGAATTCGGCTTAAATTTTCCAAGTTTTTTCATTCAATTTTTCTTTTCTTATCATCACGAAAATCAAACGAAAAAACTTTGAAAAATTTGAGTCGAGGAAATTCTATTGAAAATATCTCAATAGAATAAGTTGCACAGAAAAATCAAATTCTTCTGACCCATTCTATAAAATATTTTCTATTAAACATTTCGATAGAATCGGCCAAAAAATAATAGAAAGTTCAATAAAAATCCAATAGAATTGTCTAGTGAATGCGCTAGATTTTTCAATTCAATTTTTTCATCCGTCAAATCAATTTTCGTTGTCAAAGACCTTTTTATGTGTCCCTTTTTGAGTTTTTCTTCATTCCAGTGTAACAGTTGAAATCTTATTACTTTAATAACATTCCACCAACGTTAACTCGTGCCCCTCGATGATGGAATTTCTTGACTCATGAATAGAGACGTGAGAATTATCGTCATTTTTTTCCGTTATAGGACAAATTTATGACCGCCATATGACATTTTTGTCATATTTTGAGTAGTTTGATATTGTTACTGCTATTCAGATGAAATATGACAGTCACACAGAATCTATGTCACAAAAATATCATCAATTTGAGAAGCTATTACGAAATTTCGGAAAACGTGATATTTCTATTGCTATTTAGATGGAATATGACAATGTTAATGCCGTCACAATTTAGAAATGTGACAAAAAATTTCATGATTGGCATCTGTCATATGACGTGTCACTGACATATCACAAAATTTTGGGCATCCCTTTGTACTCATGAACTACACTGTTTCTATTTTCATAAGAATCCCAGAATTTTTCAATCATCTTATAAAAACACTGTAACCAAATATACTATAATTCATTAAACTTGAGCTATTATAAGATGAAAATCGTATTGTTATGTTTGACCTTGTAATTGGCCTGGTACTGTTGAGTCTTGGTAAAGATAAGAATGAAACTAAAAACAACAAATTTACTGAGGAGTCGTAAAAACATTCATTTCAATTGGTAAACACCGAACATCTGAAGTCATACCAAAGACATAATGACCTAAACCACTTACGAATGGTCAGTTTGCTCAAATTAATTATCACGTTAACTAACTTACATTGCATCTGTCGGTGTGTACGGACTGCCCTCATTCTGTGACAATGGACTTGCTGGTGTCAACGACTCCAACGGGATCTAGAATTTTAGTTAATGTCAAAACACTTGAACCTCATGATTCAATTTCTCGTGATGTTACAGTACTTTTGGTCACTTACGTCTGAGAGAACTGTGCAGTCATAACTCGGTTGGTAGTTGTCCTGCTCGTGTGGCGGTCGTCGACGAATCTTATCTCTGTCCTGCTTGTGTTTACGATCAGCCCCTTTAAGCTTGAAGACCTTGATCTGACAGGAGGCTGCGTGGAGACGCGGCCCACCAGGGAGTTTGGTCTCCACCTGAATTCTGAATGGCACACCCTTCTCCCCACCATGCTTCTTAGGCGTGAATTCCGTACTGATGCAATTAACCTGATGACAAATGAAATGTATGATGTTACACGTTCATCCACTGTCTTGCTGATTGTTTCAGGCTAAAAGTGAATAATTACTTTGATGTAAACGCCAACTTCCTTGGTTGGATCCCACATGAATTCAACGATATTCTTGGTTGGTCTAATCCGGGAGACATCGACCATACCGTAGCTGAGTGGGACATCGACATCGAGCAGACGTTCACCAGGTCGTGTCCTCTGCCAAGCCATCATCTGCTCCTTCTCTGTGTACTGGAGTCTTCTCTCGTGAAAGCATATACGAATGCTCGACTATAAAATACAAAACATGATCAATAATTCATTGGATCCTTGACAAGAATTTCATCATATTCAATCATCAATTCAAAATAATCAGTATTTATGAACATGATCTTCTCCAATGATTTCGATTTTATGTGGATCCTACCTTGAGTATTTTTCCACGATAAGCCGAAAGGTCTCCCAGTTTCTTTAATTTAATCTCATAAGACTGTCCCTGATTCAGATAAGTCAGTGTCTCCTCATTTAATTTTGTTGCAATACTGGTAGCTGCCGCCAAAACATACTGAAATCTTGAATAAAACAGAGGTCATTGTTAATAAATTTCCATCACGAGATGATAAAGTTAATTAGAACCCTCCTCCAACGTGAAGGGAGCAGAGAGAAATTGAAACAGTTAATACCGGCTGTCCTCATTGAATTCGTTTCCTTGTTGGGACGAGGATACGTGATTGCCGGATGAGGAAATGGGTGGATATTCCTCATTACCCGAGTACAAGAGCTGGTGGAGGCTGGTGGTTGATTGGCCTCTATCCCCATTGCTACCATTCTGCGCACCGCTTGCATTACTTGCGTTGCTGTTACTGTTATTAGCCTTTGCAGTTCTTGTATTTGTTGTTGTAGCGCTGCCGTTGTTGCTGTTATTGTTGCTATCTGGCTCGACGGGCAAGCCCATATTGCCATTCTGATGTGAGCCAATGAGATTTTGCTGGGTCACGTGAGTCAGGCTGAAGCAGAATGAAAAGGGAAATTTTTCAATACGATTACCAAACGTCTTGAGATGGACTGACAAAGGCATGAGATTACTGCAGAAGATTAAATATCGATAGCGAGGATGGTGAACTAGTCAAGCCCAATGGACTCATCATCCTAGCGTACAGTAATGAATGAATGAATAAACCATAAAATTGATGAAGCTAGTTAACGCGTTTGATAGTCAAATAGGCCTGATCAAAATATGTTAGATTCAAGGATCGTGAGAAAATATGGTGGGGTGATATATGAGGGGAATTGATAGCGTTTGCCAGCGATAAGAAACCAAACAGATCCACTAGGTCGAGATTAATTTCATCACAGTCATGCATTCGTGTTCAAACGTTCCTGACATTCCTGAATTATCGGTTGTCCATTCTTCCAGATATCCCTCAAAAACTATTCCATTATGATATTGATTGAAATGATGCTGGTTGCTCTGCGATAAGATGATTACTAGTTGATAACTACGTGTGTGTATTTGAAGGGAAGCAGAAACTGTTGGGAAATGTGTTAATGATTCACTTTGGATTGTTGGCTTCATTTTCCGGGGAGGGGGCTTCCTGCTTGAAGACTGTCAGCGAGGGTAATCCCAGCAGAGCCTCACTGAAACAACCCTGTATTAACATACATTGTACGCGCGCCATGCATCTTCAATTAATTAATGAATCAATCAGATAATTCGCATCAGTGACTCAATGATTTGTTGTGCCAACGGTGTTTACCTTGACTTGATGTATAGCATTATCTCTCAGTAACGTGTGTGAAATATGAATAAATGATCAATGTGCTTGCAATGATAGAGGAAGGTACGCGTCAGCTCAACTTGTCTATGTTGATAGAAATCCCTTCCCTTTGAGGTGTTAAGTGTACAGTGTCAGGCAGATTTCACTCCTCCCACGAGATGCCAGTACATTGGGTAATAAATTGTTATGTGCTCAGTGAACCAACTCAAACCGGATATTAAAGTAGACTCATCATTTCCTCATGTGATGGCAACATGTATCAATATCAATCTAAGGTTTTTTACTACTGGAATTAACCGGATACTTTGCGCGCGTATCATCTGCTATGGGTTCCAGATAGTACCGTATTTTTGACGTGGATACGACTATTCACCACGTAGGGTCATTTTGGTGATAATTCTTCATGCCGCAGGTCTATCTATCGGAATTCTAGAAAATTCTGGATAATCCTCCGGTTTTGTAGACAATTTCAGAAAGTTAACGAGGTTTTTTCAGAGCAATCTTGAATCCACTTAAAAATTTGAATAAAGGCGAGTGTTATATATAAAATTCTGAAGAATAAGGAACTTACATGGGGCGAGATCCCTAATTCATCATTTTCTCTTAATTTCTCTATTCACCCAGTCTACACAACCCATAGGTAACTAAAGAAAAAGAATTATGGACAAAGATTGCCAAGATATTTTGTAATATATTATGGAAAATCAGACGTTTCTGAAACCTATTAGTTCTGTCATGACGTCATAAAGTTGCGGTGAGTAATGTGGTTAGCGCTCCGTTATTCAAGATGCAAGAGGTACCACTGGCATTTATCATGTGAATGGGTCATCTAAAGTGAAATTGATTCAGTATGCCCCGAACTTGAACACGGAAACAGAAAATGAAGTATGGAGATGTAACAAATCAATCGCTAACTGTACAACAAACACAGAGAAAACAAAAAAAGATACTGGTGGTTAGAAAAGTTATAAAGATATTGGGAAGAAATGGTTTATCCTTTGTAAATAATGTATATATGTAAATAAATTGACTCTTTAGTTATTAAGTCTAGTATAGGGTGCCGTTGAGCACAGGGTTTTTGAAGCCTCTACACTCAAATAAATATTAGTAGCAACCATATTGATCATGGTATAAACTAATAAATAGGAATAATAACAGAACCAGTCATACCGATAGAGATCACAGGAGAGCACGGCGTCGAATGACTTTTGGGTATAAATAAGAAATTTTTTGTTTATTGGAGAAATGTAAAATCCAAAATTGCTCATGTCTTTTGACTATGATTACAATAAGCATCATAAAATAAAAATAGCGCTCCGTTGGTCGAATGTGCGGAGAGAGGAGCTACCAACGTCCATTGGATAAGGCGCACGTGAAGATTAGGTTCGGCTGAGCTTGTGACGTCATTAGCGATTTCAAACGCTTTAAAATCTTCAACTTTCGACAATCAGTTATTAATTAACGAGAAATATTTCTAATGTTTATAGACAAAAAATTAATCATTTAAGGCCGGAACTTGAGATTAAGAAATTTAAAAAATATATATGAAAGTTCCCTATTTTAGAGCTATCTGAAAAACTCTTAAACCTTCAGGAGAATTCGAGAAATTGAGTGAATTTTAGAAAAATACAAGGAAGGGACGATGTCAAACATTTTCCGTTCCGGCGGGCGCAAAGTTACATTTCCCTCCCGCTTCGCGGGACGGAAATAATAATAAAAAAATACAAGGAAGAGTTTTCTATATCGAAGGAAATATGGAGCTTTCCCAGCAAAATTTGAGGAAATGCGATGGTTTTCTAAAAAGTAAAGACCATAGACGTGTCCAGGCAAAATTACGATTATACCAAAGATACCACCTGCAGATTTTTTCTATGAAACTATTATTTCATAATTGAACGATCCTAGCAATGCTCCGTGGCCGACATGAGACATGACAACCCATGGCGAGATGCTACACTGAGAAAAAAAATTTCTAATATCTGAAACATATTTTCTTGAAACAAGTAAATTTTCTTCAATTGCTTAATTCTCTCCGGCATTTCAATTAACATGACCCGAGAAAGGCCTCCTGCTTTAAAATATTGTTGTACTCAAGTATGATTTTGTCGCAAATGAACTTACTTAAATCGCGCAGAAGAATCGTCAATCTGCTGGTCTTTATTGTTTTCATGTTTTTTCGTTACGCACTTCTGCGTATCTCGTATTCGAGTTCCGTGAAGTGCACACATTCTGAGATTTAAGCCATTGAAAATAATTAACTTTTCTCAAGAAAATATGTTTCAGATATTAGAAATTTTTTTCTCAGTGTATGAAAACCGCGTGGTAAAATACCATGACAGCCCCGTGACAGTGGTCATCGGAATTTATCGTAAGCAAAAAGTATATCATTTTATTCGCTTGAAAATGAAGAGGAAGAAAGTGAGAGTAGGGATGAAGCGACCCCTACATATGTGGAACCAACAATTATACACTGATGAAAATTTTCTAGAAAAATTCATGTGTTAGTACCATAAACGAGTCACAATTTGCACACTTGGGAAAGTTGTGTAGCACCAGAAAAATTATCGTTCAGTACCGAAAAATTATGGGAGACATCGTAAATTTTCTGTTGCCGCACGAGATTTTTTGTTTTGCAACACAATAATGTTTCCAAATCTGCGGATTGTGACTCGTTTATAGTACTCAACACATGAATTTTTCTACCCAATTTTGTTCGGTGTACAATATGTAGAATATTACACATACTATACATACTAGATGTATATACGTACAATAGTTACTGTACCTGTATGGCATTAATTTTCAAATAGTAAGAACTGTAAAAAAATCAAGTCAGTAATACAGTTTTTGCTGTTAGAAAAAAAAATTAAGATACACGGACGAAAAAATTTAATAGAAAAACCTATCGAATTCGTTAGAAACTTCTATTGAATTGCTATTGAACTGTTCTATTAGTTTTTGGCCAATTCTATTAAAATGTTCAATAGAAAATATTCAATAGAAAAAGTCAATAGAATTCAATTTTTCTGTATAACTTATTCTATTGAGATATTTTCTATAGAATTTTCTCGGCTCAAATTTTCCAAGTTTTTTCGTTTGATTTTCTTGATGAGAAGAAAAGAAAAATAGAATGAAAAAAACTTAGAAAATTTGAGTCGAGCAAATTCTATATAAAATATATGAAAATAATAAGTTATATAGAAAAATCGAATTCTGTTGACTTTTTCTATTGAATGTTTTCCATTGAACATGTCAATAGAATCAGCCAAAAAATAATAGAAAGTTTAATAGAAATTCAATAGAATTTTCTTACGAATTCGATAGGTTTTTCTATTAAAATTTTCGTGCGTGTAGTAACGCAATTGTTACTGTAATTTAAAGAACTAAACATTAAATTGTTAAATAGGCGGAAAAGAGTCTTCAAAAATGGTTATGCTGCATGTTTTCTTACAATGGATCGCTACTATAGCTATTGGACTAATAGAGTAAGCGGTGCATATACCGCCCAGCTAAATAATTAAGTTTTTTGCAACCAAAACCCCAACTTTGACTAAATCGGACAATTTCCAAGCCTACTTCTACTATTCATTCTACTATTCTTGATTTTCTCTAATTATAAATCCTCGATTTGTTGAATTCACTAAATTATCGAAAAACTAAGATGGAAACTGCTATATATTTCGTACAGCTGACTTACATTTTCCAACTGTTTCATAAAAAAATTAATTCAACTAAAACAGCTGGATTTGATTAATGACACCAAATTATCACTCAGAAAACATGAAATCTCTCTCTTTAGAAAAAAATCTCACATACTCATCCAAGAATATTACACTGTACAGACCAAAAAATGTGAAGGCCAATTTCCTCATTAAAAATTATCAAATGAGTCGAATTTTTGTTGTAATAGTTATTGACATTAGGACCCTCACAATTAAAAAAGAAAAAATATGATAAATGCTTATGATACGTAGATAAGAAGGTGAATGCATTCCCCACTGTGCAGGCATTGAGGCTATTACCATGAAATCCTAATGAGTGTTATAACGATTTTATAATGATTTGACATTTCACCTGCGATTACAATCAAACTTACCTCATGTTGTAAGACACCACGACATTGGCAAGGTCGTTAGCTGCAAGAGCAGACAGAGAACCATCAAAATCGGCCACCAAGTGTTCAGCGAGCTCCTCAACTTGGCGGGAGGACCACTGGGCCGAGCCATTACTACCAATTGATCCTAAAAAAATCGAATTCCTGAGTGACCGAATCATCAAACAACACGAGCTTCTCGAAACATGTGATTTTATTGCATGTAGGCAGATGGAAAAATTCCATCCACTCTTTCACAATGGCTTGCCACGTGATTGTTCTTCCGGAAATTAACAATTGACCCGTCCCAGGTCCTAAAGCTCAAAAGCTGACGTTGGCTATTCGAGAGACTGCTCTTTGCAGCGGCCTTCGCAGCCAATCGACAAAATTTTCTTACTGAAAAATTATTACTCATTCATTCTCTCCCCCCTCGCTCCTCTCCTGGTTGAAACGAAAAAAAAAATTTACCATCTCTTCTGGCATGCTTTCGGTCCAATTCTCCAATTGACTGATTTGCCTCGGTGGCACGCCGCTTGAGGCCGTTGGATGACTGATTGAAGCTCTGTTGCTCCGACGTCGGTGAATTGCCACTTGATCCACCATTTGTGCGCTGCTGATCATTGGCGTCCGGTGAATTTTTCGGTGATTCACGCTTATCGTGCCACAGTATACCACTGTCTGACACGTGATAACCCGTTGACACCTGCGATGAGGGGGAAAAAATCCGAGATTAGTGGATTAACGAGATTCCATTGTGATTTTTAAATGAAATAGGGAACATACTTGTTGAGCTGTGATGACGTCGCGTCCTTCGTCTCGAACGGGTGGCGATAGTCGTTGATAAGGTGGAGATGGCGAGTGACCCATCCACATTGTTTCATTCAGCGTCTCTGTGCTGGCCTCCATCATAACTTGTAACTCCATTCGAAGCGATTCGCAACAATTTTCGGTTTTTCTTCTTCTTTTTAATTTCTCTCTATCAATTTTTATCTCTCTATTTTTTTCGCCAATACTTCCAATTTCTGGGGTTACAGTGAATTATTACCGTGCAATTTTAATCGAGAATGAGAATTAACTCAGTACTCGGGGGGTATCGAGTTGAATCCAAAGTCCATAATCAGTAGTTGCTCTTTATATTCTCTTGTTGCTCTTTCTTGATTCACAATTGTACTTACGATGATTATGTCCGTTTAATTTTGATAAACTTTTTCAATACGACAGGTGTGATGATGTTCGATCAATCTTATCTGGAGGTTTTATCACTAAATCATTAATAATCTCCTCTTGATCCCTGCCTCCTCATTAACTAATGGGAGTCACTTCTCTAAACTCGTTAACTCCTGGAGGGCCAAGGGCATGACACACGTGGGTGCGCTTATATTAATGTTCCTCTGCTTGAAAACTAAATTTATAAAATGAATAATTCAGTGTTCAAATAACTTTTTGGATATACTTTTGCTTTTTTTTCCCTCTCGTGGTACTTATTTCTTCTTTTTTTCTAATGAAAAACAGGGGAAACTGTCAAGCGACTACGTGGCTCCCTTGTTTCAAACAGTCCTTAAAACATGACGAAGAAGCTGTTGTACAATTTCTTGATGCCGGTGGTTTCGCGCTGTCGATGTGTCTCCAATAATGCGCAACCCCGGGATTTTAGTGATAGGAAACGTGAAAAAACAACGAAAGCCTCTTTGAACACCATTGCAATGCCTCGACTGAAAGGCATTTTGTCGTGACTGATCGTGCCAATAATTTGGTTTCGAATCTACACAGCTCCCTTCTTTTAATTATTAGTCCTTTTTCCTCCCCGCCTCGATCTCCAATGAATGCCGGCACTTTTTCCTGAAACTTTTCACGTTGATCGACAAGTTGACTTTGCGTTATTCAAACTCTTTGGATGAGCAGTACCGCAAATGACGAAATTCAACGATAGCTCTGCTACTTTTTCACGTGGTGCTCTCGTTCGAGGTCTACAACTAAATCAGTCGAACAGTTCCCCTACCTCTCCTCAAAAATTGACATCAATTATGAAGAAGAAACTGAACAGTGTTTAATCACCTTCACGAGGGGAATTTCCAAGAGGAAGATTCCCATTAAATTTCTACAGACTATGGCTCACACACTAATTAGTGTCTTGGTTGGCGTCTGAGGCCTCCTCATGCCACGTAGTCACCACATTTTCAAAATTCTTCGCTCCATAATGAAATCCCACTGATAATCCTCAGTCCTCAAACTTTTACTTTCACCAACGAAAATTCACCGAGTCAAGTGTGTTTAAGATTGTTAAGCCCCGATAAAATCAGAATTTAGACAAATTAAATCGCGCCAGATGATAAACTCAAGACGCTCACAAAAATCACCTAAAGTTTCAGTGATGAACTGTCGAACAATAGCAGCCAGTAGAACTGGGCCATTCAACCTAGCCAGGAAGGTGGAATTTCCTTCACTTCTTACTTCCTTGTCATCCACCAACAGACTGGCCTGAAGAGTCCCGATGATCCGAGTGATCAAGAATGGGGGTGACACAGAAAGCGTATAAACTATATCCCGTCAAATGGGCGATCCGATTCCTCTTACAAATCAAGTATCTTCAGTCACGTTTCCAATGAGAGACAGAGAGAAGACAAAACGGAAAATTCCAAGTGATGATCTTCGTCTTTCAATGGCTACAGGAAGATGAGGAGGTACGATGATCAACTATACGATCAAGCGCTTTTCCAACGAATGACGCTCCGCTGGTATGGGAACACAACCGTTGACGTTGATTGTTGAGTAGTTTAACAAGTGTGTGTCCACACTATGACCCACACACAATTACAGGGTCTAGACCCAACAGGGCGAGGAGAGATGGAGTTTGAATTTGTCTAAATGACGACAAAGACGATGGAGAAGCTGAGGGATTTTTTTTTCATAATGGCGCAGTCGTTTTGTATCTCAGAAGTCAGGGGGATCAAGCGTCTGACCAATAAGAGTGAGATTGTTCTTGTACATCAATTGGTACCACTCAAGGACCGACGCGTCCCCCGGGGATTGTTATACACATGTATATAATACCGTTGGGCCTTTTGTGCAAGGTATAATTCGTGAATATCCTACGGCTCAATTCCCTCTCATTAGTCGAGGGGCCAAAAACAGTTACTGTCTTCGGTGATTAAATCTGCAAACAGAAAGAACGATTTCCATTGAAAAATCAGTTGTGTTATGAAATCAGAATCAATGACTTTATTCAAATACAAAATAATTTAATTGACGCTTAGTTACATGAATGTCAACAAATTTAATGGCTTAAATATTATATCGCGTATATTACAGTAACAAATTCCCATGTGTAGGATTCACTGTCTGTGACAATTGATGTCAATCACTTGGGGTCGATTACGTACGCTCATCGCTTGAATGCCAATAACAAATTCAAAGATCTCTGCCACGCGCGGATAACATGAGCACATTTATCCTCTAAACACCAAGTGCAAAGCGTCAATGTCACCCCTGATCATTGTCATCTACACGGTATTTTGTACAAATTACCAACATAATGGGTAACATGGGTAGAGCTACTCCTCAATCTTTTGGCAATGGAAATCGTGGAAATGAGTGCTAGCCGAGGGAGTTGGCGTTCCTTTTGTACTTCAGTTTCAATCTATCCAACCCATTTTGTTAATCACGGTATTTGTGTGATGCTGGTAATTGCTGAGTGACGTGAGTCGACATTCAAATGGATCAAATGTAATTTTCGTTGACATTGAATAGACTCACTCATGAGATAATCGGTACGATTTTCATTCATTGATCCCATTTATTCCTAGATATTCCGGTTAAATAATGCTAATGCTCAATCACACTGAGGCACTCGGCTGCGCTTTTGCATTCAGCCTCAAGTACACTGGACCATACTTTGTACCGATGATTTAGACCCGGGAGGGTATGCATTAGCGCATTAGAACCAAGTACCCCACAGGAATTGTTCGAGTCACCGTAAAATATCATTGAAACTCTCGAGTGAAGGAGAGCCATTGCGCACAGAGGACAGGGTTCCTTCAGTAGGAAAATCCAATAATTCGTGCATAAGTAAGGGCACTTCTTCTCATCCTCCGGCGACTTGTCTTTTGATTCTGGAGCGACCGAATGACTGAATTGAGGGAACGTCATTGATTTCAATGATTCAGGATAGACCAGAGGGAGGTTCGATGGGCACTCTCTTTTCCTGTCGGCTCCTCCCTCTTCAGGAATGACTTCACTCGAGAGGTTCCAAGCTCCACCACCTCTGATCCTCGCCACCAGGTCCACAACCAGCATCGCAGCATGCCACATCGGATGTTCATTGACTCGAGCAGTGCTCACCGCCAATATCCTACTGATCCCCTCGTCGTCAGGGTCCAAAATCACCGCTGAACCATTGCAATGTTCATTTCCAATGGCGGTCCTCTTCGCAGCTGCAATGCACACTCTCATACAAGATTCTATAACTTCGAGTTGTTTGGAGTCGAAAAAATTTCCATTGATAATGACCTCGATCGACGAGTCAGGATGGAAATTCACAGGCCAGGCTTGTGATGCCTTAGTAAATTGGACTCTTGTGCGTGGTGACCTCTCGGGAACTTTGACGATCTCGAAATCGTCCCTGAAGATATTTAAATTGACGTTTTTAGCGATGAGAAATGTCTTCAGCTCATCAGCCGAGGCGAACGATGAATCCGACGCTTTTCCCGGATTCTCCGGGCTCTTCACCAACGCCAGGAACAATCGATTCCCCGAGCAGCGTTTCAGGTGACCACAGCCTGGCAATATACTCGTTATTACTTTCAAGGCAACTGCAATGTCCTTCTTGTGCCTCAAAACACCGATGAATGCCTCCCGCAGAACTACATCATCCACGAATTCCTTTCCAACAATTGCCCTCGGTGTAACCAAATTTTTCACGGTAATCTGCATGTCTTCATCACTCAGCAGTCGTGGCTTCTTCTCCAATATCCCTGTCATTCCTTCTCCACCTGAAAAGACGTTCCCTTGACTCTTCTCATCCATCTCCAATTTATCATTTCAATTTCCGGTGCATTTAAAATGGATTCAACATATTGGTTATGATTTTCTTTCAATTTTCAACAGTGAAACTGCCGAGTCAGTAATCAATCGCTTTCCATTTTACAAACACATTTTCCTTCTTTTCTCAATGCGGGGCAGAATCGAATCATCATTGGTGTCAAGTTGGGTTACGGTCAAATCATTTGAAAGAGTTATGCGCAAGTTGAGACAATAAACTTGAAAATAACTCTTATCGCTCAAGCTGTTACGATAATTACACAATTCAATTTCAAAAATGTACTTGTATCTTCAAAAATAAAAAATAAACACACTGTGATAATACAAAAATCGACAAAAAATTCCTAATAAACTGTCTTATCGTAAGTACAAAATGTTATTGACTGAAAACCTCACAAAGAGTACAGAATCTAATCGAGTTAAATCTCGCTGAATAAACATTCTCGTTGAAGTTGTAATGAAAATTCCGGTTGATTTTTGACCGCATGGATTTCATTATACCGCGCATATCCCTCTGACACTCGTGGCCCACGTGATTTCAAAAAGCGCGCGGTAGTCATGGAATACGAGTGGTAAATGGTTAAACTCGTGAGGCACGACAGATTCAACTCGAATGAATATCTATCGACGTTGGGCTTACATAACGTAAATTAACACCAAGAATGAGAAATACTATACTGCGATAGTGTTACAATGTCACCAGTACTGATGAAAAATAGCTTGTTGGTGTGACAAACTTCTCGCTTGACTAATCCACGTGTTGAAAAGTCAGACCCTAACACATGCACCATGTGTACGTGTGGATATCTACCCAAACGACATGGCTGTTGGTCATTTCGCTCATTCTAGTGACAATGTTTGACAACAGGCATTTAAGTGACGCCAATGCGCATATTACATGCATTTTTACGCAAAATCAATAATACATAAGTAGTAAACGAATAAATGTTCAGAAAAATGCAGAAGACTGAGAGGCAGAACGAAAAATTCAAGTTTTCAAAAATAATTGCCTTCAACTCCAATTGACATTGAGAACATCGGCGTTCCCATAACAATAAATTTTTACAAATTCTCGAAATCAGTGTTTGTTGAGTAAATATTGCTCCAACTGAAGATAATCCGAGCAGTAAAAACTCCGGATTGACATCAGATACAAAAGAATTTCTCACGATGCTAGACTGAAAATTATCACTCGAGGGAGTTGACTTTACAGTATGAATGTACAAGGAATTTCAACAATGCAATTGTCAATTAATTAAAGTACAACAGAGTATTTACACGGTAAAGATTCCATGGACCGAGCGTCGACGTCAGGTGGCGGGGCACTCGCTCAACTGTTCATAACCTATTCCAGTTTATTTATCCAAGCCGATGCTCAACAAAATGATAATTAACACTCTCAATAACTCTCACAGGTTAAACTATTTTTCTTGTGATTTTCTATCTGCTTGGGTATTGATATTCCGATGAATTTGATTAGCTCTGTCAGTGGGTATTTGTCAAACTCAACACAAGACACTTCTCGTATGAACAACTGATACCACACGGACGGGAGACGAGAAAATATGGCGGGAGGGGCTAAATACACTGTTGTTGTTGGTAGTGGTGAGTGAGGGGGAGTAGTTTGTTTTTTGGGCGAAGAATTGTTGATTGTTCACGTGAATCGTGCGACAGATGGGTAACATACCTAGGGGTTTTTGAGACTGAGGTTTATCGTATTGGACATTGTTGGGGAAAAATGAGATAACGGTGGTAGTACTGCGGAACAGTGCGTTCGGTGGCGGGGGGATTGAGGGAGAGATCACATCTGTGGGGATCATGGGTGTTTACATGTGTTAATTTACCATCGAAAATGTACGGGCGATCGGCGCGTGGAATAGAACTCGTCGATAGTGGGGTTTAGGAATTTGTGGTGGCGGGGAATGGGTTTGTGTGGGTTTCTTCATAGTGCGCGGTCATGTGCGTGTGTATGTGGGACGCTAGTCGGCTTGACTACACGTGAGTCGCGATGGCCGATGTTTTTGAAAACATCAATTATCGAAAAATCTGTGGGTTTTCAAAACATCGACGTTTTGAATTCAGTTTTTCTGGTATGTACATCGATTATATGAAAAATGCATGTTCTCTCTCATTACACAGAAAAAAAAGAAATTAAATTTTTTTTCTATCTCATCTTTTTTTATTTTTTATTTTATTGAAAATATGTAGGGGCGGGTGGGGTAAAACGGACACTTTAGACTTTTTTAAAATTATTCATAACTCAAAAACAATTTCATCAATTGAGTTCAGTTTAGACTCGTCACAAAGGGAAAGAATTGTTCTTTGTATTGAAAAAAAAAATTATCAAATTTCATCGACATTTCAACCCCTTATTAACATTTTTTTAAAATTCAAATGCCCGTTTTACCCCAATCTCCCCTATTTAAAAATGCAACCTGAGGACCTGACGTTTCAATGATAATTACTGCTGCAGTCAAATTTTGAAGCTCGAAACAGGGTTGTTGGTTAATTGAAACAAATATAGGTGAGGGTGGGGTAAACGGGCATCTTAGACTTTTTTAAAATTATTCGTAACTCAGAAACGAATTGGTCAATTGAGCTCAATTTAGGCGCGTCATAAAGGGACAGAATTGTTCTTTGTATTCAAAGAAAAATTATCAAATTTTATCAACATTTCAACCCCTCATTAACATTTAAAAAAAAATCAAAAGTGTCCGTTTTACCCCAACTTCCCTTATTGAATATTTTCCGTGGCTGAACGTTTAGCTATAATACTTGTTGATTGTTATGTATATTTTTAACAACGACACAGTTACATGAAATTTCAGGATATTTTTTCATTGAATTAGTGAATTAGTGAATTTTGTGAATATTCGAGTGACTCTCATTTGAAATTGAATTTAACTTCACAACATCGGAAGTTCAAATGACGATGTGACTGAACTTTCAAGAAATTTTTAACAGTCTACATAATTAAATCTGAATAAAATAGAAGTTACAGAATCCATCCACCGCAATTCACATAAGTGCATATTTTTCATCACAATAATTAGGTAAAATTCGCGTAGGTCTCAAAATAGTCAGCATAAACAACAGCGGCGTCGTACAAATATTCCAAATGGTCCTGCAGAAAACGAGAAACAAGATGATTAATTACAATCAGTTGCATACTATTAGTTTTCATTAATAGATTTCCTCAAAATGCTCTGATATTCCATTTCTTCGAATAGAGCTAGAGCGCAATAAAAATACGGCTCACCAGAGTTTTACAGAAATCCGGCCTCGATCTCCTCATAGCTCGAATGGCCAAACAAACGTCACACTCCCGTTCCAATCCCATTCTTTCCAGCAAGAAACTGAGCGCCAAATAGAGACCACAATTGGTGACCCCATCACTAGTGGAAGACATTATTTTTTATCATTTAATCCAAACGAGTGTTACTACATTCATTAAATCTTACTGGCATAGAACAAGGGTGGGTCCATCGCCCCTGGAGATTCTCTCGGCGTATTGCCAAAAATCGACCAGAGTTATTGGTTGCGGGGGCGGTTTTTTCTCCCCCGGTTGCCAGCCTTTCAGAGATAAAACAGTAACTGGCTGTTCCCGCGGAGGTTTCTATTCAGAGAAATACGATGAAATAATGTCATACGCTGAACAAAAAATTACCTAATATCGCAAAACTAATTCCTTGATCCAAATATATCATCTTTGAAAAACCTCTTACACACGGAAAAACCTAAACGTAAATTACGTTTAAGAAATCGTCTTCAACGCTTTTTGAAGCGTATTTTACGCTTGAACTTGAATCGTAGATTACGCCCAAAATCGCTGTAAATTACGATTACGGAAATGTAAATTATGATTTCGTATTCGTAAATTATGCTCAAACTCGACGTAATTTTCGGTTTTGTATTCGTAAATTACCATAATTTTTTACGTATTCTAGGTTTACTTATCAGTTACCAACCGCGAAGAAAAAAAAAGTTATTCAAGTTAATTTATAAATTAAGCTTAGGGTTCAAAAAGTTATTCATGTCAAGTTGACTCAAGTCAAGTCAACTCACGAAAGTATTTTTGTGATATTAGGTCGTTTTTATTCTCAGTCCGCTCTAAAATATTTTCTCCGTGGCCATATACACGTCTACAAACAACTCACGGCTGAAGAATCGGTTAACAACATTTTTTGGCTTGTGCAGATGTCTTCCTCAATTACATTTTTCCTTCTCAGAGTTAAGAAAGGTGTCGGTTTAATTTCATCATCATTCCCTGTTGCAAATTCACAGCATGTCTGGAGAAAATACCATAAATATTAAAACCCTTGAAATAAATACCTTCACTGAGAGAAAAATAAAGAGTGTGTCTAGCAAAAAAATGCTGCTGAGGTGTCTCAAGCAACCAAAAATTGATTATTGAAAGCACATTTTTACGAGCTTTTCTTAAAAAAAATAAACTCCTCCCCGTGTTCGTATCTAGGTTCTCTTCATTATGAAATTGAAGTCATGACGGAAAAACTCACAGGATCATTCTTATCAGGAGGCTGCAGAGCTATAACAAGTTCAATTTTAAATTCAGCGATCATTCTCCAAAAATCTGTCACGGTGGATGGTAATGGCAGTTGCGAAGCAATGTAATTATTCCTGTTCCTCGCGCTGTCCACATAAACGCCAAACATGTAATCACTGTCAGCATCCGTTGCGGGGTACCTCGAAATATAGATTTTCTGGCCAACAACCGCAGCCAATTCTGGGTAACGATTTTTCGGGATATTTGTTTTGGATATTTCGATTGGTTTCGATGCTGAGGATTGCAGGGCCTCGTCCTGCCAAGCACTCTCGTTAAGTCTGAATAAATACACTTCGTGTGATTGCCATACCAAATCAGGTGTAAGTAATTAAAAAAGATGAGTGGAAACCTCTGTAGCTGATGAAGCAGTCGTGGTCTATATTCCTCAATTTTAGCGGGTAGGCTCTCGTTACAGGCGATCGCCGTTGGTAAAGTCAACAAACACTCGACTAATGTTAAATGAGCGAGGAGGTATTGCTGTTTGTTGTCAACCATGTTTGCTCTTTGACTTCTTATTGCCTCGGTCTCCGCGAAGACGTCAACAACCTATTAAAGTTTTATTTAAATTTGTGAAGCTGCAATGATTAACCCGCGATCACTCGCTCAATGAATGCAGCGCCACCCGTTTTCGTTTTTTTATATTTTAGCGTGTTTCTCGACGCTTAAGAATTCGGAAAAAATTAGAGTTTCTAGTTCAGTCCTTTTATTAAACGTTGGCGTTGTCCGTTTTTTCCTCGGGATATTTGTTTAACTGAAAAAAGAAAAGAAACGGCCAACGGACAGAAAAGCGGCGTCGCGCCGCCCGGTGCGAGTCAGTCCCTGTCGACCCCTCGAGTAACAGTGTTGCTACATTCACTCCCGCATTTGTAATGCGCGCATAGCGGTAAGTGCAGAGGTGGCAACAGTGCGCTCGGTTTAACCCAGCGACGCTGCGCTAACCGTGCGACGGATGAATGCTGGCGGCCGAGCGCGAGTGATCGAGAATTAAAAATGCAAATGTGCACCGAGATGAAAAAAAATTTCCCAGATGAGTCTTGTTTGAAACTAAATAATCGTAAGTTAAAAATGATCAAAAATTAAACTCTCGAGTGACTGCATCCTTGATACGTCAACGTGCGATCTGTTGTTAACGGGTCGATCGCCACGTAGATGTGACGTTAAGCTTAACAGTTGTATAAATGTTGCAGCCGCTTAGGACTTTTTTAATTGTATCGATTGACACCAATTCAATTTTTCGGAAAATATTCGAATGTTCTTGAAAATCCGAGAATTGTCTCCAATTCTCTGTAAAACCGGAGAATTTTCGCGAATTTTTTGGGAAAACTCGAAAATTTTAGATTTTTCTAAAAAATTCGATAAAATTTTCTAGAATTCCGACAGATGGTGCTAGTCCTTGGATTATAAACTTGTGATTTTTACGGTTCAAACAAGTTGTTTGAGAATAAGTATTTTTTTTCTCTCAGTGTGAGGGGAGCCATTCTTACACCCTCAGCAGCAGCTCTCCGCAGACATATATCACATAAAATGATGGTTCCTGTTCGCCCAATCCCTGCACTGCAGTGGATGACTACAGGTCCATGGCCTGTGCTTGTTGCAAGCAATTTTTTCAAATATGTCACCACGGATTGGGTGTACAGGGGTACCCCGTGATCTGGCCAGGCTGTGTAATGAAGATGCTCCACCTGGAATCATGAATGTAGTTTCGGAAATATTTCGGATAGAAAGATGACGGTTTCATGACAGCATCGAAGAACTCACCTTCCGATTTTCTTCACCGCATGTCATATTGAAAATTCGGAACGTGTAATCCGCGAAAACGGTATGGCTTATGTTATCCACAGTAATACCTCCAAACTCACATTTCTTTCCAATGTCTGGCCAGTATTGCTCACATTTTTTCTGTAATGGATGCGTCAATAATTTCTTCAGTCCTCATTGAAACATTTATTGTTCCGCATAAAAACTAAATATTTATTCTATATTATTTGATGAAGAATTTAAGCATAATTTGAAAAATATTATTCACATTAGTTAATTTATACTGCATTTCACAAAGCTGTTGACTAATTCATGACTATTCAACCAATTGTAACATTTAAGTATTTCTCTGGCAAAAAATCTAGACAAATTGCATACTTTTTATAAGATATTTTCCTACCGGAGGTGGGAATATAGTCAACACTTGAAAAAATTCCTGCAATGAGACTTTGCACTTATGAACCGAGACGCACAGACTTTTACTCTGTTCTATTCTCAATTGATGATTTCCCCTTTGAAATATTCAAGTGAATTGGAATAGGCCTTTCAATCTAACATAACTTCAAGCAAATATCAAATTATTTTCACAAGATTACTTAATTCAATTAATGATTCCCTCATAAGCTTTAAATAAGAAAATTGATAATATTAAAACAAAAAATTTCTGGAATTGTACCTTAGCAAACGCACAAAAATCAAAAATGGTAAAACAAATTGAAGATATCAATCCAATGAATAAATCTCATATTTTCTATTAAAGAAATCGAATTTTAACACATTAAAAACTCATTGTCCACAGATAAAAATTCTAAAATTTACATTGGTCGTAAATTACCCTGAGTGATCTTAATTGTTAGCTCAGAGCATCGCTGAGTCGATACGTTTATAATATACAGTAGAGACTTCGGATAAGATACCTCTCTATAAGATACTTCGCGCTCCGAGCGCTCGCGGCCTACCCCCATTCTCGGCACTTTTATCGCCTCCCGAATGTTTATGTTCTTTAGGCTTCTTATAAGATAGGGGAGGATGGGGCAAAACGGTCCCCCTTCAATCGTCAATATTTTCCGATTCAATAATCCGATTGGGATGAGTTAGAGCTCGTTTTGAAGAATGAAAAATTATCTTCAAAATGAAGTTGAAACTGGGAATTTTCACAATGTCATTCACAAGTTATTGACAATTGAAGGGGGGCCGTTTTGCCCCACCCTCCCCTACCTATGGCCCCGGTCATTTTTCAACGGGAAGAGAGTAGTTATAAGCATCAAACGGTATTAAGGGTCAAACGGGAGGGACGAACGAAGTGATCATGAGGGTTTAATGACCTTAAGGGGGTGTCACACCACTTTTTTCAAGTAATGGAAGTATACATCGATTTTTTTTTCACTTTTCCCATCGAAAAATCATAATTTTTCGTCTCTGATTATTCTCGAGTCCACCAACAATCCCCAAACATCAGCTGCCATTCTATCACGCAGAGTTATGTTTAGAGACAGAGAGAAATGTTGAGTAAAAATTACGGAACTCAGAGTTCACTCCCCGATTACGGAATCGACTCAGAACATTTAAGTGACGGTATCGTAATTTTTTACAGGAGATTCAGGTAAAAATTACGGATCGTTCTGGAGAAATTCCGTTAGAGTTCCGTAAAATTTCCTACAACCACATTTCGCTCCGTAATTACGGAAAAGATACGTAATTTTTATTGAATATTTCTCTCCGTGGAGAAAAGGGAACGCGGGAGATACAAATTCAAAACATTAAACACATAAATTGATTAGTTATCGATATTCATTCAGTAAAAATGAAAATTTCATTGAATTCGGACGCAACGAGCGAGGCATCTTATTTGAAACCCACTGATCCCTATTTTTCTCCTCTTTATGGGTGCGCGTAGTGGGGGTACAGGGGTTCCCGGAATTTCACTCTCCTACTGTCCCTAAAAGGTATCTTATACGAAGCCTCTACTGTAATCCCACCTTTCCGCCCTCCATGACGTTGGCCAGCATGCAAATCACTTGGACCTTTTCTTGCCAAATCATCCGCCAGAAATCGTTGAGTGTATTCGACTTGGGGCCTTGTGTAGCGATGTATGCTCTAGTTTTCTTGTACCCCTGTCGAATAGACATGCTTTCAAATTCTGCATAATTTCATAGAAAAAACGACCGCATTTACTAAGGAATTGTATTCGAGAATTAATTTTGATTGAATTGAATAATTCTGTACAATTACCGGAATATAGTTCGCATTTATGTAGTCAGAGAAGGGCTCGTCGGGAAGCATCTCGAGCTTCACTCGCGTTTCATCATCTGCACAACAATATGCCCATATTTATCATCAATGTTCTTCCAAGAATAAATTCAAAACCATTGATTAATAGAGACTGACTTACACGCTATGAGATTTGCATATCTGTTCTTCATCCTATTTTGAGGAAGTTTTCCATACTCCCATGATTTCGTTTGCCCTCTCGGGAATGTCTATTTTAAAATTTTAAAAATTCACAAGAAATCTTTCAGTTTTCTTGAGAACCAAAACGTTAGTTCAATTATATCGTAAAAATTTAGAGGAAAATAGAAAATTTAGACCATTTCGTACTGAATGAAAAAATTTGCTTTTTCGAAAAACTATTTGTTCCACATGAGAATATTTGATGGAGTGGTGATTTATATAATCATCAGAAATCCGTAGAAGAATTCCAACTGTTGGCAGGAAAAAATGTAATCTATTACACGACAATCATTTGATCTGAAAGAACTTCATAGGTTTGTACTATAGAAAGAATTGATGAGGAAAGAATATTTTTTTCCCAAAAAAACATTGTCTTCTCGAAATTATCATTTGTTGCATGGAAATTAGAAGTATTTACTGGCCAAAGATATCCACTTGACGATAACATCCACTTGATAAAGCCGAAGCCTCATATAATTCTCTGTATAACGAATGTATTTACCCGAAAGACATACAAATGTCTCACAAAAATAATTCCTACTATTAAAATTATCATGTTTTGGTGGAAACATTCTTGTTGTTCACTAGTAAATTGATTTAACACTTTAAATGATCTCCTCAGGCGAACATATACTTTTTCGGTAGAACTAATTTTTTTCGCATTGCAGTTCTGAGTATTCATGTTTAATTCAAAACTGAAATAAGTTGTGAATTTTCCATTTTATATTTACTAAAAACTAATGAATTTCCTTGAATTCAAAACGCCGTAAGACTTGAAAATTCCTAACAATTTTCCTCTTAAATCGAATTCAATGTCTCTCCTCTGAAGATAACTACCCGACTTTCCATAAAATTTTGAGAAGAGCACGGAGAGAAATCGACTCAGAAAATTTAAGTAATGATATCGTAATATTTCACAGAAGATTCAGGAAAAAATTATGGAACGCTCTGGAAAAATTCCGTGATTTTTAAGATAAAAATTACGTGATAGTTCCGTGAAATTTCCTACAACCACATTTCGCTCTGGAATTACGGAAAAGATAGGGGAGAGTAGGGCAAAACGGACTGCAGGCAAACCGCACCACTCACAGAAAATTGGTAATTTTTGTTTTTTTTGTTTCTTTCAAATCAGGAACACTGAATGTGTTGAATTAAAAGTGAGTTTCAGAATCATAACCGTCACAGGGATTTTATAGACAAGAAGTGTCGCTGAACCGCAAGTTGATCAGATTCCCGAGTCGAGGATTTGGTTCTGATTGGACGTACACAGGTCTTTCAAGATCTCTCCAGACCTAGATGGACCTGGTAAGTCCTAATCAGTTCTGCGACGTACTTTTCCAGAGACCATTCGAATCCTCAGTTCTTTTCGGTCCTGAGAAGTCCTCCTCGATGCTACCGAGAACGCGTGATTTTACGAGCGGGTGAAGGGGAAGGCATGTATGCGGAGGGTTGAAATTTGTAGCCAACGAGGAGACAGGGTTGCAGAATATATTT